GCTGGAGGATTTCTGTAACAGTAAGGAAGGGTGGCTATTAAAGCAGGAAACTGGAACAGTCTTATGTTTATGAGGACGAACAAATTAATCTGCATGTGAAATCCCAGGGAAATTGACATGAAATAAAAATTTCATGCTTTACAGTGTATTAGCGTTGCCCATGAAATGCGATTAAAGGGAGTTTCTGGTGCTACCGCCGTCATACATCTTGGACAACTTGTGTTTCACTCTGCTAAAGGGTTGAGTCGGAAACTAGAGGCCAGCAGGTGCGGCATTCTATAGCTCTAGGTCGTCTCCCTTTTCCCCGGGGCGAAGAGCAGGCTTCCTTGCAGAGTGAGCTGGGGATGTGTTAGGTGTTCTCAGCTCTAAAAACTAAATCGATGCTAAACGCTGGCAGCAGGTTCACTGCGCCTGTCCTCGGGGATCTGGCATTCTGGAAAGGTCCCTGGGACAAGAGCTTTCCCTTCTCATCCTTTTCTCCTCACACACATCAGTTTTGGTGGCAGGAGAAATGAGGGGAGGAGGGAGGGAGGATGTACTCTGCTGCCTGCATCTGAGAATCTACAGATTGCTACTCCCTAGAGCAGTAGGTCTGCAAACTCATTAGTCAACAGAGCCAAATATCAGCGGTGCAAGGATTGAAATGTCTTTTGAGGGTAAACTTCTTCTAAGGCCACTTCTTCAAAATAGACTCGCCCAGGCCGTGGTATTTTATGGAAGAGCCACACTCAAGGGGCCAAAGAGCCTCATGTGGGAGCCCGTTAAACAGTAGCCCCTCGTCAGGCTGTTGGGAGCCTTCAGAGGTGCTCACTGCAATGCCTGGCGGAAGGGGTTGCTGGGAGTAGTTTTAAAGCATTCCCTGAGGTTGTGTTTTCACCCTTACGAACCAGGAAGCTAAGTCTTAGAGAAGTCAGGTCGTTGCCAGGATCCCAGGGAGGAAGATTTGACCCCATGTGCCCCACCCCAGACCTGCCGGGTTTCGTTACCTTATGTGGCGTGACCTTTGCATGACTTTCCCCTTTTTCTAACTGCTTTCAGTCTCCCCTCGGATGCCAGAACTCCTTCCAAGAGTTTGTCTTCTCAGACTTGGGGCTGTTGTCAGACCTGGAGAAGCCAAAGAGGCTTTGCTTTGCATGCATATCTATAATAATAAAAGCATAATATGCTAATTAGACCAGATGCCCTTCCAGACCACCTTCCAGACTGAGCTGTGAGGGACGCCCCGGTACCAGAACGGGAAGGAAGGCCTACTGTTGCACTAATTTTGTGCATCGGGCCTCTAGTTTTAGTAATAACAACCAAGCTCTCCCCTCTGCTTCACAGTTACCGAGGCTGCCTCCCTCCGGATGTTGTGCTCCAGAATAAAATCCGGAATGTTCATACTTTATGACCACATCTCCTCTTCCCGAAGGGCAGCGTGCTGTAGGAGGGAGACTTTGTCAGGGAGCCAGAGGACCCGGGTCCTTGCCCCAGCAGGCACCCTACAGGCCACCAGGGGCCCCTGCTGCCCATTGAGAAAGGGGGGGTGGTGATCCTCGGAGCACTGTTTACAGGCTGCTGTCAGCGTAATGAGCTTGTGCGAGAAGCGGAAAGGCATGTGCACGGCATTGTGTTTCTGTGATAACCGACAGTGATCCCTGCTAAGTGAGCTTCTGACATGCCCGAATTGGCACGTGTGCGGGTGCAAGGGTGGGGGCTGGGGGGAGCCGGGGAGCAGCGATTGGCTGGTGGGGAGATGGAAAGAGACAAAAGAGGGAGGCGTTCCATCCCCAGGCCAGGGGTGAGCATCTCGGAGCCCTCTCTGGGAAGCAACCTCTGCCAGTAAGTGGTATTGAACACCCAAGAAGGCACTGGCTCAGGAAGCACTTTGAGACCCAGCTGAATGTAGGAAAATGAAGAGTCTTAATAGACGCTTTCTTTAAAGGAAAAAAAGAAACCGCTCGTGGAAAATCGGCTGAGAGGGGTGTGTATTATTCAGGAGCTTCTGTGGCAATTGGGACGGCAGCCGGCAGCCCGGGGCTGGCACCTGTCTCTCAGCACAGCGGTGATCCCGCCCCTCCTCCTCCTCCTCGGTCCACCCCCACGCCTATCCTTTCTGCTCTCTAGCTCTCCTCTCCAGTAAAACCCCCGAGCCCTTAATAAATTATAAACATGCTTTCTGGCCCGGCTGTCGGCGCCAGATCTCAGTGTTGGCAGCCTTTCTCATTCCCCTCGTGTCCCCAATAGATCTCGCTGTTTGATTAATCTTTTAGATTGCTCTCACAGAGAGCCGCCTCTCCTCACTGCGTCAGATTTTAAGAATTTTTTTCTCAGCCCTTGGCTTTGTTGCTGCCGGTGTCCTATGCTGCTGTGTGGGCGGAGCTGTGGGCCATCTGGGCCTGGGGGAGCAGGTGGCTGGTGCACAGGCCTCAGGCAGGTGGGCCCCACCCAGCACCGGCCCCTCCAGCTCTGTGCCTTAGCCAGGGTGGGTTCACAGTGGGGCATGAGGGACACTTGTCAGGTGAGAAGCCACGGGACCTGGGTTCAGCTCTTCGCAGCCACTCTGCTGGTGTGTGACCTTGAGCGAGACTCTGAGCCTCAGTTGCCCGCAGCTGTTGGAGTAAAGGTTCTCAGAGGCTGTCATGACATCAGATACGATAAAGGATGACTCCAGGTACTGGGAGCCGTGAGCAGGGGCAGGAGGCAGGTAGTGCTAAGTCCCAGGAGCAAGATGCCTGGCCTCTGAAGTCCGAGGCCCCGCCCCCTGCTACCTGCCCTCCCAAAGCCTGTGCATGCCCAAGGCACATACAGGGCTCCTGATGCCCAGGCCCAGGAAGCTGGAGGGCTGAGGCCCAGGAGAGAACAGCCCAGGCCTGTTAATGCCACAGATTTCTGCCCAGTTTAGGAGCCTGGCCTGGGCGATCTCCAAAGCCCTTTCCTCTTCTGAACCATGACTTCGTGGCTCTCATTCAGAAATACCAAGCACTGCTCGGAGGCTGGTTCGACCTCAGGGTGGTCATTCCAGCTGTCGTTTACTCAGCATCTGCGGAACACCAGGTGCTTTGCCTGCAATGTCTGTGGTCTTCAGAACAAGCCCAGGAGAGAGGTGTTTGTCCACACTGTCTAGGTGATAGCATTGAGGCAGAAGGTAAATGATGTGCCCGCGGGCACACAGCAGTGCCCGGCAGACCCAGGATTCAAATGGACATCACAGCGCGGGTTCCCCTCTCTGACATTGATGCCACCTCCTTTGCTCGCATCTCCTCCTCTAGCCTCAAGCACCCCTCACCCACTATTGCACTGGCCAGACAGCTGTCCAGCCCCTGCAAGATCTGACTACGCCCACTAGAGGAGGAGTCTGTGGACTTGAACTTGGTGTTAAAAAAGGAGTTACTATTTGTCAGCCATCTATTAATAATGGGGGAGGGGGGGACGCACGGGGATGGGGAGTCTACCAGTTAAAAACTGTCTCCACTTTCCAGATAAAGAAACTGAGGTTTAGAATGGTAGATTCAGGTGTGCAGACACACACTTGAGCCTCGGTGGCAGAACATTTGTGACTCTGCCTCCTGCCCCTGCTCCCTGGAGTCATCCTTTATCGCATCTGATGTCATGACAGCCTCTGAGAACCTTTACTCCAACAGCTGAGGGCAACTGAGGCTCAAGGTCACACACCAGCAAAGTGGGTGCAATGAGCTGAACCCAGGTCCCGTGGCTTCTCCCCTGACGCGTGTCCCTTCCGTGTAAATCAACCATGCTATGGCGTGTCAGCCCTGATCGAAGCGCTGGGTTGCTGATGCTGTGAGGACCTTCAGCAGGAGAGCCCTGCCTTCCAGAGGAGCGCACAGCAGCCTGGAGGGGCAGGTGGTCTGCCCAGGGTCCCCCGGCTGGCCATGGTGCCTGGACCCTTGTGTGGGAGGGTGGTCCTGTCCCCAAAGGTTCTCTCATTCGGTCTTTGCTGTTTAGGGAAAAGAGTTCAGAATTACCAGTGAGGCCGAAGGGACGTCAGGCCCGCTGGCCCAGGAATGAGGCTCTTAAGTATTTTAGGCCACAGACTTCTCTGAGAATCTACATAAAACTATGCAGCGTCTCCCTAAAAGAGGAGGTGCGGTGTGTGTGTGTGTGTGTGTGTGTGTGTGTGTGCATAGCACACTTGCATATGCGGCTTTCAAACAATTTCAGAGTTCACAGCTCCCTTGAAGTCCATCCTTGGGTTTCTGGACCCCCAAGTTAAAAACCCAGGAAGAAATTGGAAAATGAAGAAAGGAAATGTTTCACTCTCCAAACCTGTTATTTCCTTCCTGTTTAATACCCCTCCGTGTAATCGGACAGCCCCCCGAAATAGCAAGAAGCAAGGACAGCTCCTGGTGGCACCAGCCCCTCTCGGCAGGCTTGTTTTTATTATTATAGTAATTTCCGGGCTGCGGGCTACAGTTTTCACTTGCAGCCAGGTACTGAATTCAAAGAACCCCAGATGTAATTGTCATATGAAACGATCCTGGACACGTGGAAATGGATACTTTTTCAAGACGGGGTTTTACTTTTTATGCTGGGGTTTGAGGGCTCTGCCTCTGTAAGCTTGCCGGATGTTGGTGTGGGGGGGCGGGAGGTCGGGGTTAGCACGGTGGGGTGGGCTGCAGCTGCTGGCCCAGAACATGTGCAGCCGCTGCCAGCTGGATGGACCCGGACCGGGGAGCAGAGCCCAAGATTTGGGGGCAGGTGTGTGCGGCCATAGGAACACTTGGTACTCACGGGGGCGTGGGAGAAAGCCCACATTTATGTTCTGAATTGCAGCTTAATTAGGCTCCAAGCCCAGGTTCCCCAAGGTATTGGGAAATGGAGCTTCAGTCATTTTTGGAGCTTCCCTGCCCCCGGTCGGGCTGGGTGAGGCCCTGGGTCTTGCCCCATCTGACACCAGGCATCTGTCCATATGCTAGTGACCACCATGTTGCCTGTAGTTCCAGCCCCTGTCATCTCCTTTGCCCCCAAAGGTCTTAGCTGTCTCCACCTTTATTCCCCAGATGCACGCTGCTGATGTACTGCAGGGACCTGCCTCCCACCAGCATCATCATCACCTTCCACAACGAGGCCCGCTCCACCCTGCTCAGGACCATCCGCAGGTAAGGCAGCCTTCAGGGTCACCCAGGCCGCCTGAGGCAGCACTTGGTGACGGCTCGCTTTGCTTGCTGGGGAGACTGGCCTTGTGATGAGAATATCGTGTTTCTAACCACTCGCCAGGCACTGTTCAACATACTCCACGTGTGTCTACTCGGTTACTCCTCACATCTCCCATTCCACAGGGGAAAGATGGAGGCCTGAGGTGTTGGGTAACTTGCAGAAGGTCACTGAGAGTCATGGAGGGCCCGGTGGAGCCCTGTCCTTGCCTACTGTGTTGAATATGAGTTCTAAGTTCACAGCTGTCAAAGGTGCTGAAGCCTGAGAGGCTGAGTGTGTACCCGCCCCCAGCATCAGGCCGGGATTAGAACTGGGGTCTGCCAACTGCTGCCTTTCCCAGCACCTGCCTCTCCATAGACTCCCACACCTGTCGGGGCCGATGGTGCAAACCAGAGCAGCCCAATGGGTAAAGGCTAATGTGTGCTTTCTCAGCCACCACTGTTTCAGCCCTGTTCCCTCTTGGGCCTCTCATCCACCCTCAGGGCCTAGTCTGGGCCATGCATTGCTCTATAAGTAGGTCCTTGTTTGTGTGGCGTGTGGCCTGCATGCATGTTTGATGTGCAAACGTTCTGGCGTCTGCCCCCTGCCGAACACCCCTGGAACACAGGCCCCAGAGACCTGGCCGGGAATTTTTGGGGGTTTCTCAGGAGATCCTGGTTGTTTCGACTCCCCTTCTCTGTGCCTAAGAAGGAGACAACCAAGCACAGAAAAATCTCTTGTCATTTCTATCCACAAGCCACACCTCCTCTCTCTCCTAGCCTTACCTGCATGGCTGTTGGCAGGTTGGGAAGCCCCAAATGGCAGGAGGGAGTCAGCAATAGGGTCCCCCTGGTGGCAGGCACCAAGTCTACGGTGACACCTGTCACTCATGACGAGTGTCCACTGTGCAGGGTCTGTGTATCCCTTAGAAAAGGAGGGAGGGACCGGCCCAAACACACAGGCTTCAGTCCCACGTAACACTCTGTCCACGGGGGCAGCTCTGTCTGCTGCACTGATGTCCTGGTAACTGGCTGGCTGGGTCCTTCCACCAGCTGCTTGCCCTGTCTGCCCTGGCTTCTGCATCCATCCCACAAGCCGCCTGGTTTGAATTATATTTCCAACAAGACTTCAGCTTTGACAAGAAAATGCGCCTCACTGTCAGGTGTCACTGTGAGTCCCACGGTAGACTAATAACTTACCTCTCAGACTCACAAGCGGTGTGGGGTGGGTACATGGCGGAGGGGATGAGGGTGGGGGTGGCCCATTTACCCAGGTCTGTTCTGGTGAAGGGAGAGCAGAGGTGTGGGGCCTTGCAGCAGAGCAGCACACGGCAGCAGAGGCACTGGTTCCAAAGTGCCAGCCACAGCCCCTGCCAAGGCTGTGTAGGCACGTTCATCAGATACTTCCAGGAGGACCCTATAGCATCCGAGAGAAGCCCTTCCCAGGATGGCTGCTCCTCCTTCAAGGAGTCTTCTGATGCCACACACCTCTGTCCTTCTCAACATACCTGCTCACAAGCACAGACACATATACATTCACGCACTCTCTGTCATACACACTCACACACACATACACTCATGCACTCTCATACACACATACTCACATACATTCACACACTCTTTAGCTCACACACTCACATACACTCACACACTCACACATATACACTCACACACTCTCACTCACACACACTCTCACACACACTCACACACACTCACATACATATACTCACACACATACACTCACATACACTCACACACTCACACATATACACTCACACACTCTCACTCACACACACACTCACACACACTCACATACATATACTCACACACATACACTCACATACACTCACACACTCACACATATACACTCACACACACACACACTCACACACACATACATATACTCACACACATACACTCACATACACTTACACACATATACTCACAGACATACACTCACACACACACACATTCACATGCATACACTCAATCACACACACACACACACACACACACACACACACACGCTCTCACCATTAGGGGACTGCGATCTGGGCCAGTCCTTGATCAGTATTAGCCATCCCTGTATTGCACACCTATGGAGCACTCAAAAGACAAGAGCTAAAGGGGTTCTTAAAGGGCACCACGCTTAGAGTCTGAGGACCTGGGATCAAGTTCCTCCCCCACCTCTTCTAGCCTGGTGACCTTGAGCAGGTCAGGAACCACATCGGTAAAGAAGGTGATAAAAGAGTATTCGATGTCGCAAGTTCTGTCACATCCCTCACAATAAACCTTCCTCCTGGGGATGTCTCGGGAACATTTTGGGGGTGTTATAACATGGAGACCACAGGCCCCAAGCTTCCCTATGTTTATGTTCTTGGGAACACTTCAGCTGCTGCCCTTAGACTCAGCGCTTTTAGTCCTAAGACATATTTCTCCTCTTCCAGCTGCTCCTCCACCTCTTCATTACAGCAATAACGATACTCTGTAATCACATTAACATGTTAAATGCACACCAAGCTTTAAGTCTGCGGAGCGCCTCACTTTAGTTGGGGCCCCAGTTGGAGTCTGTGAAGTTTGGGTGTGTGTGGTGAGTGGAGGACAGGGACCAGGACTCTCGGGTCAATGTCCTGTGGTTCTGTGTGGAAGTGGGGGCAGCCAGGGCTGTGGTCCCCGTGCCTCTGTCCACCGGCCTGGAGGTCTGTCTCCGATGCCCTGTGCACGTCATCAACATAGTTTTCAGAGGGTAGCCATGAAGTGCCAGACCATACCAGATGCTGGGCTTTTGTGGAAAGCTGTGGACCTGTGTCCCACCTCTCAGAACTTGCGATGTAAGCTGGGCCCCTGGCTCAGGCCCCAGTGTAATGCACACAAACAGCAGATTGAGGATCTGAAAGCCACGTGGGGCCAGACGTGTGCACATCAGAGTAGGCTGGATGGAAGTGAATTTTAGGGAGGGAGGCAAGGAAGATTATTTCTAGAAACTTTCATGGCCAGGCATCACTGCCTTGAGATTCTGAACCTCCTTCCACTCCTGAGAAGGGACTGACTAAGAAGTACTTCCCAACACTTCACCATAGATGAAAGGGTCTCCTCTAAGGCACCTTTCATCTTTAATGTTGTAACGTTCTGATAGCAAGGCCCTCAGAAAGGAAAGAGGCTTGAGGAACTGGGGGTGGCGTGGTGGGGAGACTGTTCCTCTCCTCCCTCCCCCAGCACTGGTCCATGTCTTCACCTCTCTGCTCACATCTGCCCAAGCTCTCTGCCCTGAGCTCCTGAGTTAGCTGGAGGGCGAGGGGCTGGAAAGACCCATATAAGGACTCTCAGAGCCAAGTAGAAGCATGATGGGGTAGGCAATGGGGGGAGGGAGAGAGAATCACAGCCTAGGTGAGGGAGGGGACTTTTCTCGCTTCAGGAGAGAGAGAAAAGCCTGGCAAAATGGTTTACCGTTGGTGTTGCAGCAGGTCCCTGTGTATATGTGAAACGCAGGTTGTCCCCTTCCTTTGGGGCATCCTTTGGCTCCACACACACACACACACACACACACACACACACACACACACGGGGCTCTGGAGCCTACACGACCGATACTTCATATCCGCGTCTCTCCCTGTAGCTTCTTTGTAAAGTCCTAGACTTAGAGGAGCAATTTCTCAGGTTAAGGTGGTTAAGAAATCGGACTCTGAGACCAGATTTGGCTGCCAACCACGTGACCCTGTGTTAGCTCCTTCACCCTCTGCCTCAGTTTCCTTTTCTGCAAACCAAGGACTCCTGGTAATAATGACTTTGCGGAGAAGAGTAAATGAGCTCAGGCAGATTAAGGCCTTGAAACAGTATCTGGTCCCAGTTGAGCCTGTGCAGTGACATCAGTTGATGCACCTCCAGTGGGTAGGCAGCACGGGGGAGGGCTTGTTAAAACACGGTTTCTTGGACCCCCAACCCCCGATATTCTAGCTCATGAGTCTGGAGTGGGGGCCCCCAGGTGAGATTGATGCTACTGGCTCTGGGATCACACTTTGAGAACCAATGTCATGACTATCAACACTCAGACTCCACAAGAGCAGCGGCTGTGGGCCAGGCACAGTGCTAAGTGCCTTTCATGCAGCTGGGGGAGTGGTGGTGCTGTGGGCTCAGTACTCCCTGGAGCTCCCCAGCTGGTGAATGGAGGCTGGACAGGTTCAGGACCTCAACCCACGCCGGTCTGCTCCAGAACAAATCAACTTCTCCCCCAGCCTCAGGTCTTCATTCAGCTGGTATTTATGGAGCGTTTGATAAACCCTGCCTGCACAGAGACCGTGGAGTTCACGAAGCAATTTCAAATACATTTCCTCATTTCATACGCACAAAAGCCTGTGAAGTAGGTCAAGTATTAATATCGCCTGCCCTTACAAGGAAAATGTAATTACAGATGGAAAGGAAGGCGTCTTGTTCAGGATCGCACAGCTAGTAGGCAGCGGGGCGGGGGGCCTCCGGACCTTCCACGTTGCCCACACTGCCATGCCCGCCGCCTCTCGGGATGCCCATGTGTGCTTCACGGTTAGGGCAGCAGGCAGGAAGCAGAAAGTGAGACCTGCCTGCACAGAATCCTGGGGATGTGAGCTGTGGACGGGAGGCTCAGGTGTAGCAGAATTCCCAGCACACTGTGACCTGGATATGCCAGGGAGGTACGCACCCACTGCCATGCTGAGGCTGCGGAAGGAGAGGGCTTGGGACAGCCCCAGGGGGCCAGAAGCATGGCTTTGTCAGGGAGGGTGCTGGTGAGGTGTGCTGGCCAGGGAAGTGATGAGAGCAAAGGTGGGAGACCTGAGCAGCTGGGGTCCGGGGTGGGCATGGGAAGAGAGTGTGCAGAAGAGAGGGCCTCCTAGGCCGCTCTGGACGCTTCTCCTTCACCGGCCACCCTGCTGCCCAGAGCACCTGCCCAGCGCTGTCCAGCACCACTCTCTGGAAGCCACCCCCCCCCCCCCCATCACTCCAATTGCTGTGATTAGAGGAGCAAAAACAAGCCAGGTGTTACCAGGAAATGGTCTAATTAGCACTTACTGTTGATGATTTCTTTCTTTTTCTTTTCTTTTTTTTTTTTTCTTGTTTAAACCCTGGGCATTTTTTATTCGCTAATCATCTCTCAGTTCAACCGGCACAGAGCCACACACGCGATTTACCTTTTGATGTTCGCAGAAGAGAACTCTTGAATTTCAAAGAGCCGGCAGGGATTTGGGGAATCGCATGCAGAAGCGGCTGCCATAATCAAACCTCATTAGAGGGTATTCTTCAGGCAGGTTTTCCCATTCTCGCTGTCTCCTTCTCCCCCCTCCCCTCTCTGATTAGCCGCTGTTTGTTGAGCTTGCCTGTGTTTTCTCTCCGAAGATCACGGGTGAGGTGGTGAGGGTCTCCTCCCGCCACCTGCTGACCCTCCTGGTCCCACCTCCCAGCAGAGGGCTCCAGGCGTGGGGTTGGGGCTCCTCTCTCACCAGTTGCCATGGTGAGAGCTAAGACTTCATGAATAAAGGTAGCTCGAGGCAAGGATCTGCCCAGAGCTTTCTTAGAAAGGTGGGTGGAAACAGTACTGAGTGTCCCTCCTGACAGGAAGGACATGCACAGCTTCTTGGCCTATCCGAACCCCCTCCCCAATTCGTGGATGGCTCCAGGCATTCTGAGGTGGATGGTGCCGCCCAGGAATATTTCTGAGGAACCATGTGGTTTGTGGTGTTCATGAGGAGTGGGATCCAGCCTGACATCCAGAGAGAACTCCAAAACCCAGCCTACCCTGGGGATACAGAGCCACAGCACAGGAGGGTAAACTAAGTCAATTCAAAAAAATCCTGTGGAGGCACAAAACAATAATAATGGCTACCAAGTTTCATCCTTTATTGCCAGACACCCTGCTAACTGCTTTAGAAAAAATTTTTAAATATATTTTATTGATTTTTTACAGAGAGAAAGAGAGAGGGATAGAGAGCTAGAAACATCGATGAGAGAGAATCATCGATCAGCTGCCTCTTGCACACCCCCTACTGGGGATTGTGCCTGCAACCAAGGTACATGCCCTTGACCGGAATCGAACCTGGGACCTTTCAGTCCACAGACCGATGCTCTATCCACTGAACCAAACCGGTTTTGGCTTTAGATACATTTTCACCGTTAGCTCTCTCAACAGCCCTGTGAAGTGGCTACTCCTACTGTCATCCCCATTTATAGATGGAGTACTTCACTGCACAGAACAGTCAAGTGACTCACCCAAGATCACACAGCTTGTACAAGGTAGCTGCTAGACCGCAGAGTTCATATCTCCTTTGTTCCTCATCACACACCTAGTGCCCAGCACACAGTAGGCGTGCACTAAATGTCCCTGGAGCGGGTAGCATGGGCCAAGGGGCTGTGCTGGTCTCCGGCAATGCAGAGGTCACCTGACAAGGATATGACCTGTCCCTGAGGATATGACCAGGTCCAGCAAAGCCAGCCCCCAGTCAGTCAGCAGTGAAAGCCGAGGGAAGCTTCAGACAACAACTGCTGAGGAGTCCCAGAGGAGGAAGCGATTCGTTCTCACTGAGTGGCTGGGAAAGCTATTGGAGAGGAAGTGACATTTGAACTGGTGCTCACGGCAGAGGACGGGCATTCTAGCCGTGGCCGCCGTGGGGGACAGGCTCTGCGTTATGAGTGGGCAGGTATCTCCAGGGCATGAGCAGGCTGGGAACCTAGGGGCTGGCTCCAGGCTGTGACAAGCAGCCTTGAAGGGCACTCTGAGGGCTTGGGGTGTAGATTGTGGGGAGCCATGGAGGAGGGCTTGTCAAATTATTTGTCTGTAGCCCTAACCAGTTTGGCTCAGTGGATAGAGCGTCAGCCTGTGGACTCTAGGGTCCCGGGTTCAATTCCGGTCAAGGGCATGTATCTTGGTTGCGGGCTTATCCCCAGTGGGGAATGTGCCGGAGGCAGCTGATCGATGTTTCTCTCTCATCGATGTTTCTAGCTTTCTATCTCTCTCCCTTCCTCTCTGCAACCAGAGGTCAGAGAGCTTACTCTGGGGGCGCCAGGAGGACAGCCTGGGCAGGCCAAGGCTACTGTAATACACTGTACAAGAGTTCGGAGCAGGTGTAAGACATGACAGGGATGCGGGTCACATTTGCAAGTGGAACCAGCCAGTCTTTCTTGGTCACCGGTTTGGTGTGGGGGTTCAGGGAGATGGGGTTGTTGAGGATGACTCCTGCATTTGCCGTGGTGCTAGGGGAGTGGTAGGGGCATGCATTCACTAAGACAGAGCAGAGTTTCTCTGCCAGGGGTCCCAGGGGAGCCAGGGGCCTGGACAAGCCCTTCAGCTGCTCTTGAGTTTTTATTCCTCAAATGCAATGGCATTTATTTTAAACTCAATTTAACACACTTATTTGCCATTAGAAGTCATAACGATCTTTCCTCTTCCCGTCTCTCAGCGTATTAAACCGCACCCCTATGAATCTGATCAAGGAAATCATATTAGTGGATGACTTCAGCAATGACCGTAAGTAGCACCGCTCCCTTGCTCTGTAGACACAAATGTCTGTTCCAGCCCCTCAGTACCAGGCAGGGGTGAGCCCAGGGTTCTCGGGGATGGAGGAGAGCCTAGGTTTATAGCAGGACTGGAGCCTTTGAGCGTCCAAGCGGGGCTCAAAGGGAGATGAGCCTTATCTTTGTAAAACAGTGTCTTGGGTTCTCTGCTATGACTCTGTGAGGACCTAAGCAGGTAAATTTAGTAGATTCCTGCCTGGGTTTGTGTGTGTACACCTGGGTATACTCACATGCATGCGTGTCACTGCTCCTTACCCTACATTCCTGTACATGGGAACTCAACCTTCAAAGGTTGCTCAGAGCCCGGAATCAAATATATCACCAAAGATTCCTGTGTGGGATGCTGTGATCAACTGCTAGCCTGAGCCAAGGAGACCACACCCTCTCCCTTCCACTCCTCCAGGAAGACCAGGTGGGCTCTGGCTTTGGCATCCCCTGGTGGGACATCCCGTCAGCTGGCCACGACACAGTGAGCCCCTGCCTTCCAACCCTGCAACCTGCTGGTCATCGCTGTTTCCTAGTCGTCCTGCCAAAGAACCCGGGCCCCACCCAAATTCATACTCCAAACCCACTGTCCCCCAGGAAGGCTTGACATCTGTGTGCTCAATCTGACAGGGACAGTCGTTAAAGAAACATTGTTGGGCTTCAAGTATGAATAGTGCAGACACCTCTTCGGAGAGCCATGGGTACAGTTCCAAGCAGTCAGCCACACCCAGGCAGGCCTGCCCCTCCCCACTGATGAACCAGGGGAAGCAGACAAGGGCCACTGGGGGCAACTCCCAGTCCAGGCGGGTGGAGCCTGTCCCCACCAGAGCTGATGCTGGATGCTGGTAGAGGAGGCACTGCTATGCTGAGGTCTGCTGCAGGAAGGCTGGAATCCCACATCTGTGACTGAGCCTCGGGACCTTGGAAAGGATACATGAGTGGGCTGTGCACCAGGTCCACAGGGACTCGGGTGCTGTAACTCAGTGATCTGATCTACTTTCCCTGGTGGAGAAGGGGTTGGAGATGGGGAGGCATCTGTCCCGACTGTTAGGCCGTGGCCTGGCACTGAGGCTGGAGAAGGGAATGCTGCTAGATCCACTTAGAAGCAGAATAGCCTGGTGTTTGGAACGTGGACTCTGGAGCCAGACTGTCTGGCTTCAAATCCTAGACCTGTCACTCACTCTTACTAGGGAAGTGCCTTGGGCAGATTATTAACCTCGATGTGTCTCTGTTTCCTTGACTTTGAAATGGGGATAATAATAGATGTCTTTATATAAGAATTTAAATATGTTAACACATTCAAAGGGCTTAGAATGGCATGAGGTCCCAAGATAGCATGTGTGAGTCTTTGCTGCCACTCGGTAGAGTCTGAGCCAAGCAGAGAGTCCAAGGTTGGTAAACTGATGAAGCAAAGCCAAACTGGTGGGAACACGATAGAGTTCACAACCAGGGGTGGTGAGCCTGAGGAATTCTGGGCAGCAGGCAAAGCTAAAGGATGACCCTAGGCCAGTTTTCTGCAAACTGCAGCTCGTGAGCCACATGCAGCTCTTTGGTTGAGTGTGGCTCTTCCACAAAATACCATGGCCTGGGTAAGTCTATTTTGAAGTAGCATTAGAAGAAGTTTAAGTTTAAAAAATTTGGCTCTCAAAAGAAATTTCAATCGTTGTACTGTTGATATTTGGCTCTGTTGACTGATGAGTTTGCCGATCACTGCCCTAGGCAAATGCCTAAGATGGGCTCCCTTGCCCATCCTGGCACTTTTTCTTGTGTGATAGAACGTTGGACCAGCTCTGTGTGATGGAAGACACTCTGGATGGACCCCCTTAACAAACAGGGTCTCCTGTATGGAATCCATGGTCTGAAAGGAAACTCCAAAATTCACCCCATTCCTTCTCTGGCCGCCCAGCAGTGTTTTCCAGGCCCCCGTGAAATGAACAGGACTCTTACCTCCTGCTTAGAGTGATCTGGAGGAAAGGAGCAATGGCCCCCAATGACCTTGCTCAGAATTCCCATCTGCAAGTGTTTTCTAACAAGTGTGCATGTGACTGACCTCCAGATAGCCACTCTGCGTGGACTGGGCCACATCTTATATTGATAGCCATGGTCGGTGCCCCTGCCAAAGGTCCCAGGAGCCCTGGAGTCAGGGTGGGGCTCTGCAGTTGGTGGAGGGCACCGCAGTCAGTGGCGCCTTACCTGTTTTTCAGCTCACCTCCATCCCGGGTGCTCACTTCACATAACCTGTTGTCTTTGCAGCTGGTGACTGCGAAGAGCTCATCAAGCTGCCCAAGGTGAAATGCCTACGCAATGACCAGCGGCAAGGTGGGTCTGTGCAGCTGGCGGGATCTGGGGATGTGATGGGGGGAGGGATTGGGGTTATGTGTGTGAATGTTTTGGGGGTGTTCCATGTATGGGGACGGTGCCAAGTGGTTCCTCCGTGAGCCTGCTGGCACCCACTTGGCCTTTTGTCCCCCTCTTAGGTCTGGTCCGGTCCCGGATCCGAGGCGCTGCTGTTGCCCAGGGCACCACTCTGACTTTCCTCGACAGCCACTGTGAGGTGAACAGGGACTGGCTCCAGCCACTGCTGCACAGGGTCAAAGAAGTGAGTGAGGCCGACCGAGGGGCCCAGGGATCCCGTGTCCCCATTCTCCAGGCTCTCTCAGGCTCAGTCCTTCCCACGTGCCCTCAGTCCCTCAGGGAGGTGGATGGGACAGATTGCTGTTTCTGTTTTATGGGTGGGGAAACTGAGGTAGAGCAGTGCCCAGGGTCACCCAGAAGGCAGTGAGGGAGCAAGGCCCAGGGCCTGTCCTTTGTGTCACAGGGTCACCCACAGTAGGCTTGCAGGCAGGACTGTCCCAACTGGTTCCTGTCACACACAGCTTCCTGGGCTAGAGAACTCACTGCCCAAAGTGATTTCACCCAGACAGAAGAAGGTTCCAGAAGGGGCGCCCTGATGCGTGCCTTTGTAAAAAGGGGGCCGTGGAATTAACCAGGCATCACCTCCCAGTTTGTGGGTCTTGCCTCCATCCTCGTCACCCTCACCCCCAGTGGCCACGATAAGTGGACGACATGCCGAGACCTGAATTCCTTGCCTCTGTCTGTCCTTAAATTACTCCAGAATTTTGTATTCCGTCTCTCTCCATGTCTCAGTTACTCTTCTTAAACATGAAAAACTTTTAGGAATTTTCCCCAAAAATCTACCGCCCCATCCTGGAGTGTAGAAGGCTCTGCGTGCCGTAGCTGCCGGTGTTGGTGATTAGCCTCTAGACAGGTCATTTTTTCCAGGTTATTGGTCAGTCCTACAGCTGCTCTGTGAAATAGGAGGCGGGGTGGTTTTTACATACCCATTTCACAGATGAGGACACTGATACTCCCTAGCTGGTCCAGCCAGTACCGGAACCCTCCATGTGGCCTGTGCTTATTTCCTTCCCGTTCTTCCCACTTTTTTTTTTCTAATATTTTTAAAACATTTTTAAAAAAGTATTTTACAGAGAGGAAAGGAGAGAGATAGTTAAAAACATGGATGAGAGAGAGAGTCATCGATCAGCTGCCTCTTGCACACCCCCCACTGGGGATGTGCCCGCAACCAAGGTACATGCCCTTGACTGGAATTGAACCCGGGACCCTTCAGTTCACAGGCCGACACTCTATCCACTGAGCCAAACCAGTTTTGGCCCCACTTTCTTATTGTCTTCCACTTATACCTGCAACATGACGGGGTTGGGAGAGTGAAAGAATTGAGATGTGTAAACTGCTCAGAGGGTAGGAAATCCTTAGAGGGTAGGAAATCATTCCATGCGAGAAGCTTGGTGGGTTTATAAACTTCTCACATACGGGCCTAGATGTTAAAAGCCATCTGTGACCATTTTCCCGAGTTGGGAGGGCTCATACTGTGAGTGCCAGTTAGAAAAATCCTCTCTTCCCCCTTTTTAACATTATTTTGGCAAAGAGGTCTTGGTTGAGAAATAGTAGGTTATGAATGGACCAGGGGTTTTGCCTGGCTCTGGAGGCCCTTAGCCCACACCACTGCCTCCCCCTGGGCTCAGTCTGCAGGTACAGCGCTGCCTCCCCAGTCACATCACCTGCTCCTTCTCTCTGAACCTGCCCCCAGTTCCTGCAGCTCTGTCTTGGACAGTATCCTTCCTGTCACTGGGTGCCTCTATATATTAGAGGCCCGGTGCATGAATTTGTGCATGGGTGGGGTCTGGCAAGCCTGGGGAGGGGACAAGGGCTGTTGGTCAGCCTGCCTGCTGGTCGAACTTCTGGTGGAGGGACCAATTTGCATATTAGTCTTTTATTATATAGGATATACATTGAGTGGCCAAATTATTATGCATTCAGAGATCATAATAATCTGGCCACTCAGTGTATATTTCTTACTGTATCACATCATCACAGCAGAGACCACATTTTGTTTACCCATTCACCCGCTGATGGGCATTTGCACTGTTTCCCACTTCGTACTATTCTGACTGGTGCTACTGCAAACATTGGTACAAGTTTTTGTTTGAGTGCCTGCTTCCAATTCTTTGGGGGAGTCCACCAAGGAGTGGAATTGCTGGGTCATACGGTAACTTCGTGTTTGACCTATAGGATCCCCCAGGCTGACCTGTCCCTGCAGGGTGTGTTTAGGAGATTTGTCTTTCCTGAGACTTCATTCCCAGGGTCTGAGTCCATCTCAGAAGCCCTCTCTGGAAAATACTCTCATTGCTGCATCACTGGCCCCCTTCCCTGTAGGCAGAGGAAGGCTTCATTGCCTCCTTTCTGCCTGTGAGTGTGGCTGTCACCTAGGGCTCCTCCTCTGCGACTCATTCGTCCCCAGATTGAGCTCAGCCTCCCAGGCTAAGATCCCAGCAATCCCCTCCCCTGTCTGACCGAAAGCTTTTGTAGCAGAGGGCTGGTCAGACAAACTGTGGACGGTGGTCCTTGCTCTGCCCCCAGAGAGCTGGCCACCAGACCCTGACTCTTGCTGACGGAATGGTTCCACAGAGTCATCCCTTGCAGGACAAGAAGTGGGCGTGAGTGTCAGCCTGCATTTCCACGTGCCGCGGTGTGTGTCTTGTCTCAGAGTGAAACGCGATTTGATCTTGTGAGTGGAAGTGGAAGTTTTAAGCTGTAATTGGGGTTTGGGATTTTCAAAAAAGTAGAGAAGAGATAAGAAAGAGGCTGGCTGGAGCTGTCAAGCTGTCCTGGGCTGGAGTTTTTCACATGGAAAATCTCCATTCCCCTTCTCTCCCCTTCAATTACATATGCTTGAAACAAGCTCCAAGTTGGTGTGTTTGGTGGTTTTTTTTTTTTTTTTTTTTTTTTTTTTTAATACAGGCTTCTTTTTTTTTCTCCTTATCTACATATTTTTTTACAATATATATATATATATATATATATATATATATATATATATATATATTTTTTTTTTTTTTTTTTAAGAAATTTCAATCTTGTAGCATTTGGTGAGTGGATATAAATAATGGCTTACATATGCTCCAAAGCGCTTTTCGCATGCTCTCCCTAATTATTCGCTCCAAAAGCCCCGTGGGGAAGACAGGACAGTTTTGCAAATACGGATTTGTCCTCGCTTCATAGATGAAGAAACAGACTTCCCCGGTGTGTGCTGATCTGCTAAAGGTCATGTGTATTTTCGATGGCAGAACCCACGTAGGAGCCCGGCTCTCCTGTCACAGCATCGCCTCTTTGAGGGTCCTCTCCTGGCCCCACCCCTTTCTCATGGTAAAACCCTCCTCACCTGTCCACCACCTTCCCTGGACTGTGAGGTCTTACTCATCTTCGTCCTAAATTGCAGTGGGTGCTCAGGAATGCTGGTTGAAGAATCCAGCTAATGAGTCTCCAGGATTTTTTTATCTCCCATTCACCGTGTGGTTTTAATCACATGAATGGGTGCAGAAATGAGAGGTCTGACTGCAGTGGTGATTGATGGCCATTGGTTCCCAGTGGAGGGGTGGGGCTTGGGCTTGGATTTGAGTGGGGGAGGGGAGAAGACAGGAGCTGTAGTTCTGGGTCTACCAGAGATTCCACCAGCTGCCTGCTTGACCTACCTGTGGACCTAGCCTTAAAGATACAGCCTCCTGGGGCATGCAGGTGGGAACCGGGGGTGGGTCTGGGTATCTTTACAGAGAGTCCCTCCTATAGAAAGAGCCTCTGGGGGAGAAGCCATCTTGCTCAGCTGTAATTGGCCCACCTTCACTGCTGCCAGCCATTGACACTGTGCCCTCAGCAGGAATTAATAGATGGCTTCTTTTAGCAACACCAATTGAACACCTGCTGCCCACCAGGCTCTGGGCTGGAGCTGAGGAATACAATAGCAGAGCAGATACGACCTCCCCTCCCAGGGTCACTCAGAGAGATTTGTGTCCTGGCTTTGACGGGTCCTTTATAGTTTCCTACAGCCCCTTCTCAAGGTCATGGCTCCACACACCACTTAGCCTGAAACATCTCTCATTGCTTATCTGGTCTCCATGACTCTAAACAGATGCTGTGACCAAATTGTAACAGGAATAATGGGACAGAACCCCTCCGAATTTATAGGGAGAGTGTACCAGAGCCTGTCCCCGCCCCGGGGGCAGAGAGCCCCTGGTGGCTTCTGGGGAAGCCCATGGATGAGGTAAGCAAACAGCATTTTATTTTGCATTTCAGTTTCCAAATACTGAGCCCTAAGGTTCAAGAATTCATTGGAAAGATTGAAACATAACAAAACTGCCAAAGCCGGTTTGGCTCAGTGGTAGAGTGTCGGTCTGCAGACTGGGGGGTCCCAGGTTCGATTCCGGTCAAGGGCATGTACATTGATTGCGGGCACATCCCCAGTAGGGGGTGTGCAGGAGGCAGCTGGTCGATGTTTCTCTCTCATTGACGTTTCTAGCTTTCTATCCCTCGCTCCTCCTTTCTGTAAAAAATCAATAAAATATATATTTTTTTTAAAGTATTTCTAAAAAAAAAAAAAAAAAGAAAAAAGAAACATAACAAAGCTGTTACAGACATGTTCTTACAGTGAAGGAAGACAGATTGAAATTAGCAACGGGAAAAGGTACATTCGGAGAGCTCTGGGCACAAACTTCCAGTTGTCCTGTCCCAGGCTTCCTGCACACACAGCACGTACTTCTCCCGGCAGGGATGTGTGGCATCATGTGAAACAGGAAGCCCACCTGAGCCTTGGGGTCCAGGGTCTTTCTTGGAGGGTCAGTCACACAGACATGGCTGATCACCCCCATGCTGTCTAGGCACCTCCAGAAGTCAAGTTGAGTTGGGAGCACATGGCCAAGGCCCTCACCCTAAATCACATTGTTAGCATAGATTATCTGGTGCAGCCCAAGGCTCCCAGCAAATAGAGATATTCTAACAAGCAGGACATCCCAAGGGCTTAGAAGTTACCTTGGAGGCCCTGGGCCAGGGCCGGATATATCTATGGGAAAGGTTAGTCCTTCATTGTTCAGCACAAGGGTCTATCTATACAGGACTTAGTGAAGATGCGGAGCTCCCCAAACTCAGTAAGCAAAGGCAGAATGAGGGGGTTTGATCAGCCTCCCAAAAGGTCAGCCTCTGATCTCCTGAGAACATTTCAGAATTCAAACCACAAGAATGTTTTTAGGGAGGTGTCTGTGTGTAGATATTGGTGTGGACAGCTGAGTGTGTGTGTGTGTGTGTGTGTGTGTGTGTGTGCGCACATGTGTGCATACACATACAAATGCATGATGACAGTGGCCTGCGACGAGCCCCAAAGAACTGTGGCAGCTGGGCAGGTGCTGTGTGAACCATGAAGGAAGCATCTGTGCACATCCCAGAGGTGGAGGCAATGCATTGGAAATGAGCATTTTTTCCCCACATGAGCCGGTTGGCCTCAGAGGCACCTTGTCACTGTCAGGATGAGGCGCATGTGGAGGCTGAGGGCCAGATTAAATCTGTGAACGTAGAAGCTGGCACTTGCTGAATCTGACCTTAAAAGAAGAAGACAGCCTCATTGGGAAGAGAGATTGAACCAGGAAATTAAATGGCTGAGAAGAGAAACAGAGGTGTCCACCTGTGCCAGCCAGGGGCGTGGGTGGGAGGGTTGGAGAAGGGGTCCTGTCTGGTTCTCCTCGGCTGCCGGGCTCTAGTTAGCCATCCACGCTCCCTGCCCACAGCTAGTTCACTGCGCACGGGGCGGCGTCCCCTCCTGCACACCAGCCACAGGGTGTTCACGCAGAACTAGGGGACATTTAAAATAATTCAGTGTCTTGGTGGCCCTCGAGAGGTAGTGGCTTTGTCTGGCAGATTTTGAGACTGTCCTCTGGATGACTTTGGTGCCTGTGGGCAGGGCGGCCTGGGGCCAGTAGCCAGCAGTGAGGCTGGAACACTAGACACAGGCCTGTTTTTGATGGCTTTTGGGTGCCAGGCTAGGGAGTTTATCTTCCAGGCGACACAAACCTTTTTAGCTGTTGAGCTGCAGAGTGAGGTTTGCATATGAGAAACACGACTTTCTCGGCCAGCAGGAAAAGAGTGAGGGGGGCGGGGAGGGGAGTCCATTGCAGTGTCCCTGTGTGAGGGGGTCAAGGAGAGGCAGGAGTCATTCCGAGGAGCAGTTTGGGTGATGGGCAGAGATGAAGCTTCTGAATTTAGGGCTGGGGAGGAAGTGGGGAATGTGATGGTCCCTGTGACAGAAATGGGGAACCGAGGGAAGGGAGCGCAGTGGGGGAGGTGGTGATAAAGCCACCACACGCAAGGCGGTGTGGAATCCACATGGCGGTGGCTCCCTGCACCCCGGGGACACGAGTTTGGAGGCGAGGAGAGAAGTCAGGGCTGGAGGTACAGATTCGGGAGCCCCACAGGCGACAACCGAAGTTAGGAATCTCTGGAAACTCTAGCCATCCACTTGCCTGGAGACATAGGCATAGAACGAAAGTATTTGGAAATTCTAGGAGGTTCCCAGGGGAGAGGTTGCGCCGTGGGGCTGCAGGCTGGAGGTCCCCTTCCCAGCTGACTGTGTCCTCCGCCTCCTGAGTGGCCCCTGATGGTGAAGGACTTCTGGAGCCCCCTGCTGACGTCCCCTTCCTCAGCGCACAGCCCTCCCTCAGCCTGCCTCCCCCACGCCTGTCTCCACTGTGCTTGGGTGGCCGCTGTGCCAGGAGTCTGAGCTCTCAGCATCGGAACTAGAGAGGTCACAGTGTCCGGTGCCCACTTCACAGATGAGACCATTGAGACACAGGGATGAAAGTGTTTGGTCAAGGCCCACCAACCAGTCTCTGGCACTGCCAGAGTGGGGAGGCCCTGCCAGGCTCCCCGATTCCCGCCATGCCGCACGTTGATCGCGGGTCTGTTGTTTGGCAGGACTACACGCGGGTGGTGTGCCCTGTGATCGATATCATCAACCTGGACACCTTCAGCTACATCGAGTCAGCCACGGAGCTCAGGGGGGGTGAGTACGCTGATGCCTTTTCCCAGGGCACTTTCTGTTCCTCCAGGTCATGGTCATTGCTGTGGAGGGGGAAATGGGCCAAAACTTGCCTCCTTGTGGCTTGTCTGGACCGTCCCAGCCTGCATCCTGTAATAGCAGGAGCTCCCTGTGGCCCTTACCACAGGGGAGGGGCAGGCCACTCCCAGCACCCAAGCTCTGCTCCAGCGCGGGCCTCACACCCAGACCTAGTGTCACCCCCACCCCAAGACCAACTTCAGGTGACTCGGCCCCTCCACAGCTCCTGTTCCACCTTCCCGAGGCTCCTGGCCAAGGGCCCCATCCCAGAGCTGACCACCTTGTCCCCTGTGGGCTCTGTTACATCTCCCCCTGCACCCTCTACGCTCCATCCCTAAGTGCAGAGCAGGTGCAGAGAGACACAGGCAGAAGAAAACAGAAGGAAACGGTGACAGGGAAATGGGCCGAGGCAACTGCTTCTGCTCAGCGGGGGGAGGCTGTGTATCCCTGGGACCAGCTTCCCGGGGACACTGGGTACATGCCCGCCCTTCAAGAACAGGCACAGAACGTGTGAGCTCAGCAGGTGCACCCGAGAGGCCAGATCAGCCAAGCGGGTGCTGTGTTGTAGGATTTGACTGGAGCCTCCACTTCCAATGGGAGCAGCTCTCCCCAGAACAGAAGGCTCTGCGCCTGGACCCCTCGGAGCCCATCAGGTAAGTCAGGGCCAGGGTGGGGGGCTGATGCCTTCCCTCCTGCTCCTTCCCGCTGGCCCATGGCAGGGGGAAGGGTGCAGCACTGGATGCTCAAAAGTCTGGGCAGAGACCAGAGAGCCCTTTGCCAGGCCAGCACCCCCGCTGCCCTCATCCGTCTGTTACGGAGAAAGGGCTGGTGGAGACCTGTGCTGGGAGTTGCCCATGGTTGTCCATCGACAGACGTGTCATGATGTATAATACTTGTGCTTTCTACTAAGCATGGGAGGGCTCAAAGGGTCCTGTTTGAGCCTCAGACAGGAGACATGGTCCCTTCGGGCCAGGAGGGGAGCCCGGGTCTTGGGTGTCAGGATTAAGCCCAGGAAGGCGAAGTCAGCCTCTGCAGTAGGAGGAGGCTGACGTGAGGCAGGGACACTGCGGCTGATCAGCAAACATGCCTCCTCTGGTTTTTGTTGTTTGTTTGTTTGTTTGCTTGTATATATATATATATACAAATTCAATAATATATATATATATATATATATATATATATATATATATATATTATTGAATTTTTATAGAGAGGAAGAGAGAGGGATAGAGAGTTAGAAACATCGATGAGAGAGAATCATCGATCGGCTGCCTCCTGCACACCCCCTACTGGGGATGTTCCCGCAACTAAGGCACATGCCCTTGACCAGAATCGAACCCAGAACCTTTCAGTCCGCAGGCCGGCGCTCCATCCACTGAGCCAAACCGGTTTTGGCAACCTCCTCTGTTTTGTGTGAGGACATGACTGGCTGGGTGTGGCCGAGGGAGACTTTGTCCTCATCTACATTTTCTCTTCCAGGCCCCAGTGTGACCACCCCAATGACTTCCTTTTAATTTCCTTACCTCTGTAAAGACCCTCTCTCCAAATAAGATCACCTTCTGAGGTGCTGGGGTTAAGACCCAAGCGTGACTTTTAGGGAGACATAACTCAACTCATAGCAGATGGAAAAGGGAGAGGAGCTCAGTCTCAAGAAATGGACGCCCTGTTGACAGTTGCTGCCTCAGCCCTTCTCTGCCTGGTCAGTAGTCCCTGGCTCCCGGCCCCCGTACCCAATAGTGAGCTCCTCAGAGAGCCATGCTGGGCGGGGCCTGGGGGAGGCCAATGCAGGCGGCCCTCACAGCAGCCGGGGTTCAGCGAGCCCTGGTCCCCCATGGCAGGTGTGCTGATGAGTGAGTTAGCCTGCCTGCCAGGACAGGAGATGTATGATCAAAGGGAAAAGCCCAGGAGCAACTTCGTGTGTTAGGTGAGATGGAAAACACTGGGCTCCCCGAAGAAGAGCCAAAACCGTAAGAATATGGCCTGGCGTTCTGGGCAGCAAGGGCAGAAGAACATAACAAATGGTCCCTCCATGAGGTGATGCCCCGTCGCCTCCTTCTCTCCGCACAGGACTCCCATCATAGCTGGAGGGCTCTTCGTGATGGACAAGTCCTGGTTCAACTCCCTGGGGAAGTATGACACGGACATGGACATCTGGGGAGGGGAGAACTTCGGTGAGTTACGCCTCTGGGCCCTGGAGCTGTGCTGGGGAATGTGTATCCTGGGACCGCATGTGCCTGGGTAAAGGGCTGGGGAATGGGGAAGGTGGGTGAGGCACCAGAGAAGGGAGCGGTTGCTAGAAGGGTGCAGGCAATCAGGGAATTGCTCTGTGGGACCACGTGGATGCTGAGGACCAGGCAGACTCTTAGGGGGGAGTTGAGGTGTAAAAGCCAGGAAAACCAAAGAGGAACGCCAAGGGCCAGAGGCGGGCATGAGCTGGGAAACACGAAACTTGGGAGTTTGGAGTTGCAATGAGACTGGAGAGAAAGAATGAAGAGCTGGATAGACAGTGACACTGGAAACATCTGGATCCCATCTGTTGGCTGCTCTAGGCAGATAGCACTCAGCATTGAGTTAATGAACAGGCTCTGGGATGGTCGCTACAGAAACTCCGGGGCCACTTGTCCTTAACCTTTCAGAGAAAGGGGTGGGTGGAGGGCTGGGTTAAGGTTCCAGCACTGTGCCAGCAGCGGGCCCCGTGCAGCCGCCGTGGTGAGGGCTGCGGTTTGTTTGCAGAAAGAGCGCTCTGAGGCCCATTCCATCTGGTGGAGGACACTGAGTGGCCTCCCAGTTTCCTTGTGTATTTAAAGCATCCTGTTGGGGTGCTTCTTGGGGTCACTGTGAAAAATCCATTGAGGCAAGTCTATAAAAACCCAGTCACCACACCACATGGGCACAAGAAATGTTAGTTTCCCTTCCTCCCTTCCTTCCTTCCTTCCTTCCTTCCTTCCTTCCTTCCTTCCTTCCTTCCTTCCCTCCTTCCCTCCTTCCCTCCTTCCCTCCCTTCTTCCCTCCCTCCCTCTTTCCCTTCCTCCCTCCCTTCTTCCCTTTCTTCCTTTCTTTCTTTCTTTCTTTGAGCAGGGAGACCTAAGAGATGACTAGAATATGAGCTGTACACGGGCGGGGAGTTGGCTCTGTTTTGTTCTCAGCTGTCTGAGTGCTTGGTATAGTGTCTGCCATGGCGGAGGCCTCGGTAACTCGGTAAGGGAAGAGGAAGAGGCCTGTCGTGCTGGGGGCCCGTCTCCTCCCTGGGCAGTGGGCGCTGTGTTTGGCACGGGCCTCCTGAGCGGGAGCAGAGGCCAGCAGGATGATGCATGGGGCTCTGCTGGCATTTAGCAGTAATCTGGTGCATTGTCCTCTGCCATTGTTTTTTCCTGCCCCTGCCTCCAGAGTGTTTTATGGCACCTTCCTCGGTCACTAAGAGTTATTTCCCGGGAATTTATGGCTGTTGGCCTGACCCACCGCATCTGTTCTCCCCAACTGGGCAGGGCGGGGAGATCCATCAGGAGAGTCTGTCTCCTGCCGCACAAGGGGGGGGGGGGTGTAGATTGGAAGCTTGGCAAACAAAACAGAAACCCCCACACCCCCAACCACACTGATGCCCCGTCTTGGACCCAGTCCTGGAACACCAAGGGGCCTCTGGTGAGGTTTGGGGTCAGATCTGCAGGCACCGGCCCAGGAGGACTTAACACGCCAGGCCCACCCTTGTTGTTCTCAATGGGGATGGGAGTTCCCTCTTTCTGGGCGGAGCCGGCCAATGTCCTGACAGCCCCTCTCATGACCCTTAGTGATGAGCACTAGCCTTTCCTCCCACCAAGTGGATTCTTTCTGCGACATTGTGACAGCCAGCAGTCGTGCATCTCTGCTCAGATGCTGTTTAAGGTGACGCAGCTGCTGCTTCACAATTCAACATGTCCCGCTGCTTAGAATTTTGTGTTGAATTCTTCTACATCGCAGCCCATCTCCCTCTCACTTTTGTCTGTCGGAGCCCTTTGGAACCTCACAACACGAGTGTGTTCCTTCTTCTATGGGGCAGCCCCATTTGGACTCAAGAACACATGATTTTTAATGATGGCACACCGGGTCCCACCCACCAGTACCTTCTCTGTATAGCAATGTTGACACACATCTGCTCAAATCAACCGGCCATCTCCTGTGGCTGCATTATCTGGGGCTGATTCAAACGGGGAAGTGGGGAGGGGCTTCTGCACAGCTTGGGGAGAGACAGCCTACACTCCATCACAGAGTGCAGGCAACTGTCCCGGGGACACGTGGTGGTCTCCCCTTCCAGCACTCCACAAGCTACAGCCAGCCGCCAGCACTTGGCTTTCTTTTGCTTAGCGCAGTGTATGCCAGGAAACGCAGTGCTTTTCCCGTGGTGGATCCAGCGTGTGGACGGCATCAGTGCTGTGGGTGAGGGTTGCCAGGCTCCTGAGTACATGAAGGTGGGCGTTGGGGAGAGTGTGCAGGATGGGGTGATGAGCAGGGCTCTGAGGGGGTTGGAGAGTGATGATGCTTCAGCTGCAAATAGATATGGTGTTGAGATGTGGAGGAGGCTGCGTGTGAGTGAAGTGAGTTCAGTGCCAGGGTCTGGTGAGTCCTTGAGGGGAAGGCCCCGTGGGGTGCCAGAGAAGGGAGCAGTTGCTGGGAAGGTGGAGGCCACCAGGGAATTGCTCCAGGGACCAAGTGGATGCTGAGGACCAGGCAGCTTACCAAGTCCCAGCTGACCCCCCTACCATCATTCACATCCATTCCCTCTTCATCCCAGCACTCCTGAATGGCCCCCACCTCTAGTCTCCTCCCCTCACAGCCATCCTCCCACACGCCTGCCAAAGCACTCTCTCTGAGACGCAGGTCTCGGCCACCCTCCTCAGCTGGGCCTCCCCTAGGCCTTGTTTTCCCCTCTTTGGCCTTGTCCACCACTCCAGCCTTCATTCCAGAGGCTCTGCCCGGACGTGCCCAGGCTCCAGGGACCTAGCCCCTTCCCCCCAAGCTGAAGAGCACAGCGCTGGACGCCTGCCCCAGGACTTGGACGCCTTCCCTGCCTCCTCTCCCTCCCACCCCCTCACTCTGTGCCCCTAGCACTCCGTCTCCTCTTTGCCCTGGCACAGAGCGCTCCCATGCATTTGTGTTTACTTATCGGCGCCTGCCGCCCTGCCTCCTGCTAAACTTGGAACAAGGCAAGATCATTCATCCAGCTTCTCGTCTGCAAGGCCCTGACAGTGGAATTTGCTCTCTGTGCTCACAGGCGGGAGACGGGAAGGTCTGGGCGGGAAGGTCAACCTATGTCAGGTCTGTGAGGCTCCATGCCTCACATTGCGTTAAACGGAGCCACAGAGAAAAAGAACAACAGCGGGTACAGGTACTTCCTTTCCAAGGAGTGGAGCGCTGTGTGTGCCAGGCATGTTTGTCTCTTTGGCATTGTCTGTAGTTCACAGCACAGAGTCCATGAGCTTCCTGAGAAAGGCTCCGGCCGGGGTGACCCCCTGGATCCTCAGCGGCACGCTGCCCCTGCCCGCCCATCTCACTTGCATCTGCTGGAAGCAGCCTCAGCTGCTGTGGGAAAACCAGCCCCCGTGCCCTCACTCGGCCTGAGCTCCGAGCCTATTCCCACAGAGTGTTTCTAAGGGAAGGGGGCTGAATAGTTTTGATTATGACACCTGCAGTTTAGCATAGGAGCAGGCTTTAGGGCAACTTGGCTTTTAGCCTTTCCCCCCAGTAGTTTTGCATTAAAATTGCATGCTTAGACTCCAATTTACATAACGCAGGACTCATAGCCTATCTGATACATCTACTCACTTCCAGCTGCACCTCACGCTTAGCTTTTTGTCACAGGAAGCTGTTGCTCAGCGAGGTGTGTGTGTGTGGGGGGGAGGGGTGCACATTAAAAAAAAAAAAAAGGCCTTAGCACATATATGAAGGGTGAGCATGGGATTCCTGGATTTAGAATGGGGGGTTTCTAAAGCTTAGCAAATACAAAGATAGTACTGAGGAAAGAGACACCGTGAGGCCTGGAGAGAAGCTACCACCCCCACCCCCAGCCCCTTAGAATGTAGTGGAGGAGGTCAGGGTGTCAGGGTGTGTCAGGCTTGGCACACACACTGTGTGTATGAACATGAGCTGCAGGATCGGATGGGCCAGAGTTTGAATCCTCTGGTCGTTCCTGGCTGTGTGTCCTTGGAGCAGGTGCTTGGCTTCCCTGAGCCTCTCTCAAAGTCTTTAAAGTGGAGACAGTGGTGGGAGAATGGCCTGCCCCAAAAGGTGGGAGACAGTGGTGGGAGAATGACCTGCCCCAAAAGGGACCCAACCCCTGTGCAAAAGAAAGAGGGGCTCGGAGCCTTGTTCAAACGGTTGGGAAGCCTTCACTCAGGACTCTCACAGCAGGTGGCAAGACTGGCAGCAAGGCAGGGAGATGGGTCAACGCTGAATCCAAGAACAGGGGGCAGGGAGGGGGTCGGCGGGTAGAAATTACAAGGGTGGGGGATTCTCGTTCAGCTGGCTCAGCAGGATTCTCGCTACCACCGCGGGGAAACGTAGGCTCAGCCAGGACAGGGGCCAAGACCAAGGCCCCACGGAGAAGAGGGCCGACCAAAGCTGGGGCAAGAAGGGCATCGTGCCACCTAGAACCTGGCAGGACTTCACCTCCCACAACCAAAGGCACTGGCAGATAGGATGAAGGCGGCTGACGGTGACATTAGGAGGTGATCCTGGGTTATCCAGGGACCCAGTCTAATCACGTGAGCCCTCAGAAGCAGAGAACGCTCTTCAGTTGGAGGCAAAAGCGATGGAAGGGGAGAAGGCAGAGGAGATGTGGGCAGCATGAGAGAGGCTGGTTTGGCCACTGCTGGCTTGCAGGAGGAGGGGGAAGTGTGGACATAGGGGTTTCTGGCCAACAACCAGCAAGGAAGAGGGACCCTCAGCCCCACACCCGCAAGAAACCAAGCTCTGTGAACAGCCTGGATGAGTTGTTGGCAGGTTCTTCAGGCCCCCAGCCAGGAGCAGGATCCTGCAGACCTGAACCTTGATTTTAAAAAAATATATATTTTATTGATTTTTTACAGAGAAGAAAGGAGAGAGATAGAGAGTCAGAAACATCGATAAGAGAGAAACATTATCAGGTGCTTCCTGCACACCCTCTACTGGGGATGTGCCCGAAACCAAGGTACATGCCCTTGACCGAAATCGAATCTGGGACCTTTCAGTCCACAGGCTGACGCTCTATCCATTGAGTTGAACCGGTTTTGGCTACACCTTGATTTTTTATTTTGGCCTTGGGAGGCTCTCAGCAGAGGCCCAGGCACACCCACGCACTAGGTGAGGGTGGTAATTTGTTACAGCAGCAACAGGAAGTGATCCCACTGCCAGCTCCTGGGAAGATTAATTAGAAGCAGGGCCTCCGCTTCCCCTTCAGGCTCCCTGCGAGCGTGTTGGTTAGAGGAGATGGTGTGGGACCTGCTGGAACGGCTTATCCCTCCAGCCTTCCTTCCAGCCTCGCCGCCCTTCCCAGGCCCGGTGGCTGGCCCTAGGGGAGGGAAAGGGCCTCGTCTGAGAAGAACCCCTGAGTCTGATGAAAAGTCACCCTTTGCCTCATTGGAGAGCAGAATGAAAGCAGGCTGCTCTGTTCCCATCAGACACTGCATCTGATGGTGTCCCATGCACCTCGCTGGTGTGGAGTCCGAGCAGAGCTGGGGCTGCGGGATGGTGGTGGGGCCTTAGTGTCGAGCGAACAAGGGGATCGGGTGAGGAAGCCGTATCAGGAAGACCTTCCGAGGCTTGGAGTGAAGAATGAACGCTGGGAGACCAGAGGAGAGTAGGAAGGGCCAGGTCAGGTGACTGTCTCAGGCAGGGACCTGTGCACGGCTGGGACAGATGGGAGGGGAGTCATCAGACTCAGAGAAAAGCTCCGTGCTGGGCGATGGGAAGACAGGAAAAGGAGCGGGTTTCAGGGGGTGAAGGGGATAGGACTGAGACAGAAGTCAGAGATGGGGCCTCCCTTTGCAAACGAGGAGGAACATATGCCTCATTTGCATGCACGGGAAGGAAGAGACCACAGCGGAACCGTGTGCGTATTTTGGGGAAAAAGCTGGCACGGAATGTGTAGGTTACACCTCGTCGGCAAGGCCCCCATCCCTCGTTTTGAGGGATGAGAGTGTTTTCCGTTTTAGGAACAAGAGCAGACCGTGTTTTGAGATCCTGGGAAGGCGTCCACGGCAGCACAGTAGCCCTCTCAGCTGCTCAGGGAAGACACTCAGAGACTAACTTCACGCATGTGCTGACATAACTCCCCTGACAAGCCCTCAGCCCCGGGCACACTCCCTGCAAGGTGGGCAGGTGCCAGGTGTCAGCTCAGCCCACTCGTTGCCCCAAGTCTCCGCAGGGGTCAGCTTGGGGCCCACGATCCCCACGGAGCCCCCGCCAAACACCGGGTCACTGTGCACCAGGGACCTTGATGGAGAGTAAAAGTCTCAAACGTTGGCCCGTGAATTTCAAATGCCTCCCGTGAGAAGGAGGGAGGTGGACGTGGGCAGAGGGGGCGAGGCTATCGGGGTCCGTGTGCTAAAGACACGGGCTTCATAACTGCCGCTGACCTTCCCTCCACACTTAGAGTTTTCAGTGATTCTCAAGATTTCATTTCATGGCGACAGCGACCCGTGGAGTGTTTTTATGATCTTGGTTTGACACAGTAGGAGATGCAGCCTCAGCAGGGGCAAGCAGGATTTCCCCTGACGTGGCTGCTGACCCCAAAGCCATGTTCTTCCCATTTCTTCCCCATCACATGTTCTTGCCATTATTCAGCCTTGAGGAGTCCTTTCTCCACCCTAATGTGCACATTGTCCCCGTTTGAGGGAAATGCTAGCTCCCTGGGGATGCGCTGAAGCCCATCCGGCAGCACTCGGGACAGCACCTGGGCTCGTGGGGAGAAGGTGGCAGGGTAGGAAGTCTTGTCTGCAAACCAGTAGCTTTTCCAGGGACACACGGCAGGGGGCAGTAGGGGACAGACAGGTGAAGGGTGGCTGAGGACTGAGTGAGAAAGCAGATCAGGATTAAGATAGAGAAAAGGTCCAGGCACCTGCGTGGGTAGTTGGAACGGAGACTGAGAGCCGGAGGGGGGAGGGGGGAGGGGAGGGGCAAAGGGAACTGCACTCTGGGTGTGGGAGGTGCCTGTTGGAATTGACGGGTCCTCTCTCTTGCTCCCCGGCCCTGTGGTTTGCTGGCCTGTGGAAGTGCGGAACCCCTAACTCTGGGACAGCCTCTTCTATCTGGATCTTGACCGTCAGCAAATTCTCCCATTGTCTCCAAAGGAAATTCTTTCTCCTTGGTCCTGGTTCCAGCCCTCTGGGGTCCTGTGAGGGAGTTCAGTGTCTTCCACACTGAAACCTTCCACGTCTCCAAAAGCAGCGCTCTCCTGGCCACACGGCTTCTGTTCTCCAGACTAAGGCCGCGCAGCCCGCCCTGCACCTGCTCCCGGGCTGATTGAGATACATGCTCCTCCTCCATGCAGGCCACCGTCCCCATTAGCGCACCCCCCCCCCCCCCAGGTGTGGGTCATTAGCATCCCCACTTGCGGATGGGGAATCGGATTGCCCAGCTCGGGGAGCGCACAGCTGTTAGCCCTCTCTCTCGGCGGGTGCAGCGGGCCCTCGTCGCTGCCTCGGACCTCCTCGCCTCCAAGCTGCCTTCCTGTGGCCCCCCCCCCCACCCTGAGGCAGAGCTGTGACAGGAGGCGTGGCTGTCTTGCAGAAATGTCCTTCAGAGTGTGGATGTGTGGGGGCAGCCTAGAGATCATCCCCTGCAGCCGAGTGGGCCACGTCTTCCGGAAGAAGCACCCATATGTCTTCCCGGACGGAAATGCCAACACGTATATAAAGTAAGTGCGCGTCCCGGGGGCTACGAAGGGGCTGCAGTGGCCTAGGGCTTTCCTGGCGATGGGCTGTGGCTGTCCCGTGTTCTCCTGAGTGTTCTGGGTGGTCAGGAGCCACATGGCTCACCCTCCAGGCTTCTTCCTATGCAGGGGGGTCAGGGCTGCCCTAGCGTTCGGCAGGGATCCCCCAGGCTGTCAAGGCCCCGTCTGTGGCCCTGGAAGCTTTAAGTCATTGGGCTCAAGGTTCTGGGTATTTTGTGTTGTTTGGGGTCAGGGAAGGACCGAGTTTTGGGGCCCCTGAGTTCTAGAAGGCCTGCTGAGTCACCAGGGAAGATTCGAGAATGGGGCGGCACAGGGGATTCAAGGCCCATGCCTGCTCTGCGGCTGGCCCTGGGCTCCTCTCCTAGGACAGTGGTCGGCAAACTGAGGCTCGAGAGCCACAGGCGGCTTGCGAGCTGCGGTTTGCCACTCTGTTGACTAATGAGTTTGCCGACCACTGCCTTAGGGAAAAACACTTAAAATATTTTAATAATGTACTAATGTCTTTAACCTGAAGTCAGTCAAAGCTGCTCCCCACGGTTCCCCTGGAATCTGGTCATTTTCTGATGAGATGTTTCTGGACTCTGGGCTTCTTCCCGGTGTCCTTGCCTCTTTGACCACTGAATGATGACATTGTCAGTGCCTCTCTCCCTCTCTGTCTTCTTTCTGTGTCCTTTGGTGTCAGACTCAGAGCAAATACCTGATTTTAAAAATAACCTACGCGTGCTCTAGCAAAATGTCTGCAATGGCTTGATTGCTTAATTCTTTACACCTGCAAGCAGATAGTTCTTGGACAACAGGGAGACCCTGGGAGCTGGGGCCTCCCCACGCCCCCTGTGCAAAGGGGGAGCACCTGGAGCAGGACCAGGGATGGCCAGGGCAAGGTGGCAGCGCAGCCCTGCCCTTTCCGCCTGGCTACTGGCGCCATGTGGATGTGCCATGCTGCCCTGGCTCTTTTCTTCCTGTGGTTTCTTTTTTGAGAGTCATAGAAGTTCAGTTTCTGGGTAATTTTCGGCTCCATATCTTTTGGGGAAGAGTTTGTCATTACTACAAAAACCTGATATATTGGGTAAAGGTACCATTGGAGACTGGGTGGGATGTGGCTGGGCTCAGCATCCTGGGAAGAGTAGATTTACTGGACCATGGTGGCCCCCTGCCGCCAACTTGCTCACATGTGTGCATTTAAAATTTTATATATAAAATTTTATATCCATCCTATCCAATTAAAGAGAAACATGAAAATTGACTGTACCTCCACTATGCCCACAAGCCATGCCCACCAGCCAATCAGGAGTGAGTATGCAAATTAATCCAACCAAGATGGCGGCAGCCATGGAGCTGGAGGGAGCAGGAGGCTTGGGTTTCCCCAGTGACAGAGGAAACCAAGCTGCCTTCCCGCCCTGGCCTCTGTTCAAGTAGGTGCTGGGGGGAAAAAAGCAAAAAAGGAGAGGCTGGGAGCTTGAGTCACTGGGGGCTGTGGCCAGCCTGCAAACAGCCATCAGCCCCTCACCGAGGCTGGCCAGGCACACCAGCAGGACCCCCACCCTGATCTGAGACACCCTTCAGGGCAAACCAGCCAGCCCCCACCTGTGCACCAGGACTCTATCTATACTAATAAAAGAGTAATATGCTAATTAGACTGGGAGACCTTCCAGGAGACCTTCCAAATGTTCCTCTGGACAAAGCCAAGGTAGCAGGGCCGAGGTAAAGGCATTTAGAGGCCAAGAGGGGAGGGCAGTTATGGGTGATCAGTCCAGGATGGAATGGCAGTTGTGGTGGGGGGTGGGGCTGTTGGGGATAAGCAGACCAGCAGGAGGGTGAGTTGGGTGCAAGCAGGCTGTCAGTGGGGATCTGTTGGAGGTGATCAGGACAGCAGCAGGGGTGGGGGGGTGTTTTGAGTGAGCAGACCAGTGGGGGGAGGGGGCAGTTGGCGGTGAGCAGGCCATTGGGGAGGGAAGGTGAGGGCAAGCACACTGGCACGGGGGGTAGTTGGGGGTGAGCAGGCTGGCAGGGGGACATTTACGGATGAGCAGGCCGGCAGGCAGAGTGGTTAGAGACAATCAGGCAGGCAGGAAGGCAGGTGAGTGGTTAGGAGCCAGCAGTCCCAAATTGTGAGAGGGATGTCGACTGCCAGTTTAGGCTTGATCCCTGCAAACCGGCAATAGGACATCCTTCAAGGGGACCCAGATTGGAGAGGGTACAGATCGGGCTGAGGAACACTGCCCCCACCACCCCCGTGCACAAATTTCATGCACCGTGCCACGTGTGTGTGTGTGTGTGTGTGTGTGAGAGAGAGAGAGAGAGAGAGAGAGAGAGAGAGAGGGAAAGGGAAAAGGAGAGAGATAGAATCATTGATCAGCTGCCTCTTGCATGCTCCACACTGGGGATCAAGCCCACAACTCGGGCATATGCCCGGATTGGGAACAGAACCATGACTCCCTGCTTCGTAGGTTGATGCTCAGCCACTAAGCCATGTCGGCTAGGCCGTGTGTGTGGATTTTCCAGGTCCTCTCAGGTAGCACCTTCCTGACACCCCCTGCCCTCCCCAGGAACACCAAGCGGACAGCTGAAGTGTGGATGGATGAATACAAGCAATACTTTTATGCTGCCCGGCCGTTCGCCCTGGAGAGGCCCTTCGGAGAGTAAGTGTCCCTCCGCTTGACTTGTGCCGAGTCAAGAAGAGCCCCAGCTCATGGACAGGCCTTGGCTTAGCTTGTCAGCCGCTAAGCCCGTCCAGCCCCAGGCTGCTCGGCCCTCCCTTCACAGCCTCTGGTTCTGCCAGGTTCTGGCATGTAGGGCTCAGGCAGCGCCCATGGAATGACTGGCAACTCTGGCACCAGCTCTGTGGGTGGCTCAGATAACAGTGGACTGATATTTCCAGCTTTTTATGGGAAGGTAGGATGTGGGACTAAACTGCCTCAGCACCTGTAGGTCAGAGTGCCCGCCTCCTGGTTCTTCGTTACCCAAGCCTAACTCCTCCTCTTCCTGGAGCCACTGACATGACACTCTGTAGCATCAGTCTCAGGAGGCCCTCGGTATGGTCCCCATCTTTCCTGGCCAGCGTTCTCCCTCCAGATCCATTTAAATCTTCTCCGTTCTCCCCAGCTCCCGAGTCCACACTCTCCTGTCAATCACAGTAGATGACACCTTCTCTTTTATAGATGAGATAGGTGGTATCAACTTCCCAAGGCACACCAACCTATCAACTTCGCCGTATCTGCACCATCCTTCTCTATCTCTTTCCTCTCCAAGGACAAGGTGTGCCTCCTGCAGTGATGGGCCAGCCCTCCACCTACACTCCAGACAGACCTTTTATTCCTGCATTCATTTATAAATCAACATTTATCGAGTTCCCACGGCCTGGATTCATCTCCGCCTGCCTCCTGGCTCAGAGCTTATCAAACTTTAATGTGCACACAGACCTCACGGTGATCTTGTTGAAATGTGCATGATGGTTCGGTGGGGCTGCATTTCTGATAAGCTCCCGGGTGGCCCCGTGTGGCTGGTCAGAGGACCTCAACTCAGGAGCAAGGCTCTGGGGCGAAGGTTTCCAACATAGCCCCCACATTGCAATCCCCGGGGGAGCTTCAAAACCTACTGATGCCTCTACTCCACTCACAGAGAGTTGATTTAATCCTTCCTCTCCCCTCACATCCAAGCAATCACCAGGTTGTGATAAACTGCCTCATTCATATACTGAGCTCCCAGGTCCCTGCTAAACATGAAACATTTAGCACTTAAAAAAAAAAAAATCAGCCATTCCTGTCCCCATTGTTTAGAGCCTGGTGAGGAAATGTGGTTCGTGCTATTTGAGAAGTCCCGCTGCCAAGAGAGTGGTCTTAGGTGGCAGCAGGCATAGCTGGGACAGAGCAGGGGCAGTCTGTATAGATGCCCAGGAGGGACAAAGTGGAGAGGTCCCTTGGATACTTGGATGTAAGAGACTGGTGTAGATGGAGAGAAATGGAGGGACTTGAACCTGTCACATCTCTCCATTCCCAGACTCTACTTTATACCTGAAATCGTGATCGGCACCCAGGCTTCTCCAACCGCCTCCTAACTGTTCTCCCTGCCTCCAGCTTTGCCCCATCAGTCCCGTTCGCCATCAGTAGGATGCTCTTAAAGTACAAACATCACGTCATGCTCCGCTCAGAACCCATCAGTTGCATCGTAGCCCTTAAAGTCCCACCCACCCCCTCCATAGAGCCTCGCCTCACAAGACACAATATGGTCTGTGCCTCCATCTCTCATCCCACTCATTTCCCCTCTTCCATCCCCCCTCACACGTACATTTGCACACACACACATGCTCACCTCCTACAGAGCTGCTCCTGCCCACAGAACTAGCATGCTTTTTTTTTTTTTTCATGCATTGCTCTCTCTGCTAGTCCCCTGCCTCCATGAGGGTTCCTGCCTCACCCTCTTTCTGGTTTGTCTAGGTAACATCCACTTTTCCTTCAGAATCACCATGTTGACCACCCCTGACCTGAAAGCAGGACACACTCTGAGTTTCTCCCACAGTCCCTCCATGCTCACCCACGTTCACCTCGGGTGGGGATCACTCATTTCATTACCTTTCTCTAATGCTCAAAAGCTCATCATTATATCCCACATTGGGACACAAATACATGACAAGGCCCCAGAACCAGCCAAAGAGAAGGATTCTTTGTGAGGCTGCAGTGGCGGGAGGGAGGGAGGCGGGGTGTGGTACTTCTACTGCAAAATCCTAAGAGGGATTTGTGAGTAACTAGACTCAGCGTTACGAGGGTGAATTATTGCAACACGCCGAATGTTCTTGTAGCCTTGCTTTTAATGAAAAGTCAAAACACCCCCAAAATCCATTTTCAAGTTAAAGTACAAGTCCTTGGTGCCATCACTGCACCATAGTGAGCTATTGCTCAGTGTCCGGAGCTCTAGAAATCTCTCTCGGTTCATTTTTCCAGTGCCCCCCAGAGCGACGTGGGCGCCGAGCATGGGCACGGGGTGTGCCATGGGCCTCCCAGCCCGGCTCCTCTCTCTGACATGGCCGTGTTTTATCCTCTCTGCCCCCAGCATTGAGAGCAGATTGAACCTGAGGAGGAGTCTGCGGTGCCAGAGCTTCAAGTGGTACCTGGAGAATGTCTACCCAGAACTCAGGTATCTGCCCTACTGTGTGAGCCTTTGTGGCTGCATGAGAGGCCCTTGCTGGTCTAGATAAGGGACAGCCTGTGGCCAGCAGGATGTCTATAGAGAAATCCACTTAGCTCCCCTTTGTCCTGAAAACCAGCAGCAGGGTGATATTAACCAGTAGCAAGAGGGATTGAGGGTAGCGAGGAATAGCGTTTCTCAACGGCTGGGGTCTGAGCCCCGGGTGTGACTTGAGGATGTATTATAGAATTCACAGGCTGGCTCCATTCCAGCTCCATCTGAGCTTTGGCTCAGGGGGTCTTTCCTGGCTGCCTTGTTTTCCCGGGCATCCTCTTCCCCAGCTGAGTCCAGGACGAAACGCCCTGCCATTCCCTAAACACTGCCACCACCTCTTCAGCTGCTATAGTTCAAGACCTAAGAGCAGCGGATGCTCACCTCCCTCGGCTTCCCTCTAGAGTCCCCAAGGATTCCTCCATCCAGAAGGGCAACATCCGACAGCGGCAGAAGTGCCTGGAGTCTCAAAGGCAGAAAAACCAGGAGATCTCCAACCTCAGGTTGAGGCCCTGTGTCAAGATCAAAGGCGAGGATGCAAAGTCCCAGGTAGGTAACTGGCCGGGGATTCGACGCCAGGTGCCCAGTTATACCCAGAGCCCAGCAGCGGAGCAGGAGAAGTGGCTTCCCCTCACTCGGGGGCAGAGTTCACTCCGCTGGGTCCCATGGAATTTCTGAGAGAGGCCTTACCAGGCAGCATGGTGCCCGTAGGAAATGGCCATTCAGTGAGCAGCTGAATGAGTATGTCTTTGGTGCCCAGCCTGCTGGCTGGGTCAGGCAGGGTGGGTGGGACAGCTACTCTGGAATATGAAATGCGCACAGAAAAGCATGCCGCTGGGTGGCACTGCTCCAGCCTGAAGTGCCTGCTCTGCGAATCGCCGCTCCAGGAGGTGACGTCAGCTTTGCTAAAGCAATTACCATCCTCTGCCTCGCCTGCCTCTGAGCAGGGCCTTGTTCATCCCCATCCTGCCCTCACCAGGCCTGGGGCGCTGCCCGCTGCTTCCCCCAGGTCTGGAGGAACCACATTGCCCCTTATCAGAAAGGTTTCTTGGTTCCTTAGTGATTCATGGCATAGCACCTGTGGGCCAGCGCACTGCCCCTGATGCTAGAACGGCTCTTTTAAAGGTCACTGACCAATACATGGCCCACTTCAACCTCTGAACCATTGGCCTGCTGGACACATTAAAGTACACCCATCTCGCAAACGCCCCTCCTGGCTCTGGGGACTCTCACACACTTCCATGTTCCCTGTCTCTGTTTTCTTTGCCCGTTCCTCTCTCCAGCTCTCATGCCATTACAGTGAGTATATTCACCACGGATCTCAGGTCACAGTTCCCTTCTATCAGTGGTTTCTTGGAGATTTTCTCCATGCTTCCAGCTTTGGGAACCTCCTCTGTTTCACTGATTTCACAAGTTCTGTATCGTCATCCATCTATGAACCCATTCGCTCATTCAGCAAACATCTGCCTTCTCTGCTGACTGTGACGATGCAGACAGGAAAGGCTAGGTTGCAGGCCTCCGTGGCCCCTCAAGGGATCGGATGCAGAAAGAAGCAAGCCAGCAAGCAGCCATTCTGCTGTGAACTGTGTCCCGGGTAGAGTTTTGTCCACATGGTATTCAATGTACCCACGAGAACCAGGGACATCTCCCCAGAGGACTTGCACTTGAGCTGCATCCTGAGAGAGGAGAGGCTCTGTCATTCCAGTCCTGCACACGTCCAGCGGCTTGTCTCTCATCCCTGTTTCTGCAGCACCGCTACTTCCTCCCTCGGACGAGCTGTCCTGGGACCCTGCTTTGGCCTCCTCACGCCTGGTCAGCGTTCCTCAGTGTCAGCACTGTGGACTAGACAATTCTTTGTGGTTGGGTTTGTCCTGTGTTCTGTCGGCTGTCTAGCAGCACCCCTGGCCTCTGCCCACAAAACTGCCCCAGTTGGGAACCACTGTGTTCGATGACAGCCATAGCCTCCAGTCCTTGCCCCTGGGCCCCCATCCGGCATGCTATCACCTCATCGTTGCTCCCCCATCTCTATATAGCCTTCAGTGGCTCCCCATTGCCTTCCACAGAAATCCACATTCTCGGCCTGGCATTTGAAGCTTCTCACCACCAGCCTCCACTGGCTGTGATTTTTCTAAGAACCGTCCCTCTGCAACATCAGGACATGGGAGGGGCTGCCTCAGTCACCCAGGAAAGGAACAGAGGTGTCGGTTTTGTTCTCAGCGTGGAGGGCTGGGTGGGAATGGCACAATTGTCAACTTATCAAATGTTTTGAGTAGGTGACATACTTCCCTCTCCTCTGAATCATGTGTGGGCACTGCTCATGGGGACCCCAACAGCCAGGATGCTGTGTCCCCCTGTCCCTGGGATGGGAGTTTTCCCGTCTGTGTCCAGCTAAGTGGAGGCTTCTCAGTACTTAATGTCTTTGGCCACATGCAGAAGTGGGAGGTGGGGCTCTCTGGGTCTCGGGGAGTGGTCCCTGGTTGCCTGGCCCTGGGAGAGGTTGCCAGGCCTTGAGTGGACCAGAGGGTCATAGTACCTGTCCCAGCTGACTTAGGGAAAGGGAGGGAAAGCATTCATCTGTGGGAAACTAAGGATTATCATAGTAACAGTCTTCCGAGTGAGCAGCATTCTTTTCTAGACGATAGTGCCAAGCTGTCTCTCCTCTCCGCTTTGGAGGGAACTGCTGGGCTTGCAGAGCAGCAGGGTGAGTTAAGGATAATGCATGAACACGCTGAGATGGAAGGATGTGCAGTCTGCGCCAACTCACGACACAGGGTGCCCGTGGGGCCCCGGCTACCAGGCTGTGCGCTGGGCTGCAAGGTGGGGCCGTGCTAGATTAGTCACAGCCTCTCCTAGGGGCCCATGGGTGCAAGGCCAAGCATTCTGAAGGTGTTGGACCAGTGTGCTGTCCAGTGTGACCTTAGAGATTCGAGGCTAGCTGGTGGCCCTGGTTGCTCAGCTCAGATCCCATCTCACCAAGGAGGTCCCATGTTCACGGTCAACTCCAGGGCCTGCTTCTGGCATTGCCCAGAGTAACACTGACCTCAGTAATGGACGTTCTTCCTTTAAATTGTACCTGCCTCCCGGAAGTAGGTGCTGATGATTCCATAGACAAGAATGTGAAGCACCTGGGACCCACAAGTCCCCGTGAGTGAGCTGTTGTGGCCGTCTCGCCACAGCGTAACTGGCAGTGCTGCCCCTGGCACTCTGTGTTTCTTCTCAGTGGTTTACACTCAGAAGGAGTTTTGAAGGGGAAACTTGCCTCCATCAGTACCTGCTATGGGCTTCTGCGTTAGTGGAAACACAGCCCCATAACTCTGTTCCTCCCCAGGCTCCAGGCTAGGGAGGCTGCATCCAGATATTGGCAGTCCCTTCTCTCTCCCACCACTGTAGCTGTCTCCAGGGACTTCTGAACACAGAGAGCCTCAGAGCCGTCTGGCCTGGACCATCCTCTCCCCATCACCAGTTTCCTCTTCCTGGGGATAACTCCCTCCTCCTCAGCCCCTTACCAGCCTTTTGCAAAGGGGACAAGGCCACCCACACCGCCTCCAGGATGGCATCTGGGTTTCCTTCCATGGGTGTGACTGTGCCTGTGTGCACTGAAAGTGGGGGCTTCGACTTGGCCCCCAAACAGAGCCATCAGCAGAGGCCCAGCACTTACTGATTGAGGCCAGGCCAGTCTGAGCAGCTGCTGCGGCCTTCCCGAGTTCATATCTGATTCCGAGATTTGTTTAATAAACCCATTCATCACCCGCCATTCTGGGAAGTCTGACAGGCTGCAGGGAGGACTCGGAAACCCCTCCTCCCTCCCTGGCCCTGCTCCTGTGTTCTGCCACCCCCCAGCCACCGAAACTCTTTTCCTGCAGATGTGGCCATTGAGCCGTGTTCCTCTGGAAATTCAGAGGCTGAGTTATTTCAATGCCAGTAAAGCACCAGCTAATGGAAAGTCCACTTAGTGAAAAGGCTTCGATTCCTGTCTGCGCAAGACCCCGGAGGTCTCGAGGTGCTGTCCCCAGGGCGTGCCCTATGCCCGCCTTCCCAAAGGGCGTTTGTGGTTAGGGTGTCTCAGATGTCAAAAGAACCACCCCCCTCCACCGGCCTCCTCGCCATCCTTAGCACTTCCAGTTTTCCAAACCACTAGGATATTAAAAAATAAAAAATAAAAATTTAAAAAATGCCAAAATGGGCTTTCAGAAATTAGGGAGCATTTTTTAAGTTTTTGTTGTTGACCCAGTTAATCCTTTACGCATGAAAACTACAAAGCCAGTGTCTGGTGGTGATGACAAGATAATTGCAGGGTTATTGTTAAAACTGGAGGCCCAGTGTATGGATTCATGCACTGGTGGGGTCCCTTGGCCTGGCCTACGGGAATCAGGCTGAAACTGGCCTGGTGCATAGATTCCTCCAGGTCGTGTCTGGCCTGTCTCACCCACTGTTGGCCAGACCCCAGCAGCAAGTTAACCTACTGGTTGGAGTGTCTGTCTCCTGGTGGTCGGTGCACGTCATAGTGACTGGTTGAACGGTTGGACACTTAGCATATTAGGCTTTTATTATATAGGATGCTAAGATATAGCTCACTGCAAGCTTTGAGGCGGGATCAAGGGACAGAGGATAGCCCTCATCTTCTTTCCTCTTCGCAGACTGTGTGTTTAGCCTCATTTCTGGACTCTGGCAGAAGTCTGGAGGTGAGCCAGTTGTGGGTGGGCCTGGGTAAATGGCTCCCTGGCGGTCCTGCCCTTGAAGCTGGGCCCCACGTGCTTCTCTCCTTTCCTAGCAGAGCAAGGAATACTCTGGGTCAACACCAAGACCTAGCTCCACCTTCTACATCAACTCTAGACGTGTAGGACCCTTGAATCCCTCACCCACGTGGGCCGAGTCTGATTTCAGGACCTGTGTGGATCTCACCCCTGGGTCCGTCCCTCCGAGATGGACTGTGTCCCTCGCACACACCCAGACCCACGGAGAACCATTTAGAGGGCAGTGACCTAGCATGGACATGCAGGCTGCGAGTTCACCATGGGGGGCGGAGCCAGGGGTGGGAAGGGATGGGGGCCTGTCCAGGCTGAGAGCCAGCGCTGTATGTGTCCTCTGGTCCGGTGTAGAGCCCCCGAGTGAGGGCCTCCATGCCTACACTGCCCGGTTCCCAGCAAGGCTGGGGAAGGGCCTGCTCTCTGGCCTGCCCCTCCCAGTCCGGACATGGGGTGTGAGCGTTGTTACCCTCCTCAGAGGGGTTGCCATTGGGAACTGACCCAGAAGAAGAATTTTGCCAGCTGTCGCCTGTCAGAGTGGAGCTGATTTATAGTTTTAATATTTACAACCTGGAGGAGGATCTCGGGGACTTGCACCCTCTGTGGTGAGACTTGAATAAAAGGGGGCCAGAGCCAGCCGTGAGTGTGGCAGCAGCAGTGGCAGCGCTGATGGAGAGAGTGTGTGCATGTACCGGTACACACCTCTGGGTAACCCCTCTGAGCCTTGCTAGTACTTTCACCATCTGTGGAATGGGGGTAACCAGCTATCCAGCAGAATCTCGTGGAGATTAAGCTCATCTGGGTAAAGCTCCCAGCCAGGGACACCATAGTGCTCGGTCGCTATCAGCCGTTACCATCAGCAGCGGCCTGGTTTTCATCCCCTCTGTGCGTGCAGGCGGCTTTCCCCTTTCTGCTCATCCTGCAGGGAGGCAAGGCATGTGTGAGATGGTGACCCGCATCGGCCAGAGCAGAACTTCTTGATCTGTCCCAAGGAGTGCATTTCACAACTGGTTACTATAAAAAATTTCAAGTGTATATAAACATAGCAATAGATGGAAGAATATGAGGAACCCCCATGTGCCCATTCCAGGCTCCAAGACTCTCAAGTCACAGCCAGTCTTTTTCCATTTATGTTTCATTCACTACTTTCTGGTTTAGATCTTCTCCTAACACCAGCATCTGAAAAAGGACAGAAGAATCCACAGGCAGGACCCAATTCTAGGGGACAGAGGCTCCCACCGGGCTGGTGGCCCCATCCAGGTGTGAGGGACAGGACAGGGGACAGTCGCAGGTCAGGAGACACAGCAGTCAGCATGCAGGTGGTCCTGTGGGGGCAGCCGAAGGACCCACGCCTGTGGGAAGGGAGGAGGAGCAAGCCAAGTCACACAAAGACATCGAAGATGTTAGCAGACAGCGGAGGTGGGAGAGCACCAGACCCGAGAGGAGACTGCCATGAGCCAGGGAAGGTGCAGAGCAAGGGGCAGGTAAACACTGTATCAGCTTGCGGGCCATGGGGTCCTAGTGAGGGCTGGCAGCTGGAGGGCCTTTTTTCATTCTTCAGCCGAGGAGAAGTAGCGAATGAGTGGCCTGGTCTAGAGGCTGAGGGTCAGCTGGTCGGGGGGTGAAGTGGGGGAGAAAGGGTCTGGCCCCTACCCGGCTCCTCTCTGCAGCTCCCCTCGGGCAGCCAGTTCAGAAATCACCTTCTCCCCGTGATGAAGGCAAAGGGCAGGTCCCCCATCTATCAGCCTGGGCAAAACCTCTTGGTGGTTCACCTTTTGGTATTTTTTTGCCAGCCCTCTCGCCCCCTGGTGTCAGAACTGGGCAGTGTGTGGGCTCTCGGGGCAGTCAGCTGCTCTCTGATCTCTGCTACTTGGAGGAAATACCTGAGGAGCGTTCCTGGGAATGACCCCTTCTCCGTGACCATCTGAGTTCTGCTTGCCCGTCCACTTCCTCAGCTTCTCTCTCTGCAGCAGCTCAGGCGCCAGGGGGTCTGTTCTGCTGGGGTGCCAGCGCACACGCAGCCGCTTGGAATGATTTTATTTCTTCATGACGTTCCTCTTTCCCGCTGTGCTCCTCTTCCACTGCTCCCTTGGGACACTTTGTTCCCTTCGTCTCTCCATCTGCCTCATGTTCCCAGGACACTGGTTTAGACTCGCTTGCAGAGAAGAAGGGAGATTCTAAAGACAGCTGGGGGGTGACCGGCCAGGTAGCTGCTAGAACTGTCCAGTGGGGAGCAGACGCCCATCCACACAGAACCTGGAGGCCACGGGGCTCGGCTGGGCTCGGGTGCGGCTCAGCTCCTCCCAGCGGGGCCTGCATGCCAAGCCGGCCCCCCCATGGGGTGTGGGGATGGAGGCTGCCGTGGGGGTGTGACCCAACAGTCTCTGACTTTTCTGTAGCACGTTCCAAGGTGACGTTTGATGGATGATTGGTTCCTGCCCGGCCCCCGGTACTTTTTACCAAACCATCCTATCTCCTATCACACGTGAGCACGGTAGTACCCCACCAGGGGTGGTTTCCAAGGATCCTCATGTGATGACGCTTCGTGGCCTCTTCCCCTCCAGATCTGGGCCTACACATACACCCAGCAGATCATCCAGGAAGAGCTGTGCCTGTCCGTCATCACCTTCTTCCCTGGTGCCCCTGTGGTTCTCGTCCTTTGCAAGAACGGAGATGACAAACAGGTAAGTGCGCAGTGGGTCCGCCCTGGGGCGCGGATGCCTTTGGTAACATGCCTGCCTCGGTGGGCAGGTCTAAGAGGAAGTGTTGGTAAGAAGGAGGTCCTTGTGGCTGGGAGAGGGGGAAAATGCTGCCTCTGATCCACTGCCCCCCCCCCCCCCGTGGTGCTAGCAGCCGTGGCCAACCTGCCACATGAAAGTCTGTTGACCTTCTTGGGCTCCAGCATGCATGTGTGTCTTGTTCTATCCTGTCTTGCTCTGATGCCCTCCTGAGGGCCACAAGGAGGAGCAAGGCTCAGACCTTCCGGGATGTTGGGCTCCAACAGGACGTCCACCTGTTTATAGCACTGCAAAACACAGCAGCAAGGTGCCGGCCCCACCCAGTTCCCAAGAGGGAAACAGATTCCAGTGTCGGTTTTATGTCTCCCTGGCTGTGTGGCAGGTCATTGGGTCTCTCTGAGCTTCGGTTCCTTCCTCTATGAAATGGGGTTGATGATGCCCACACCACCGAGTAGCTGTTTAGAGAACTTAACTGAGATGGTGATTGCCCAGCCCATGTCCATTCCCTCCCGGCTTGTCCTGCAATGTGGGAAGCAGCAGCATGAGACCCCCGCCCCCCTGGTTGGCCCCCATATGCTGAAGCAGAGGTTTATAGGCTGCCCTGGAATCCCCCCTCCCCCTCGCATCACCATCCCCCTCTCTCCCTCCCGTGTCTCCGTGACCATGTAGACACCCATGCGGGTCATTTCTTTGGTCGCTCCTGTGACTAACTTGCTGGCACATTTTCTAGCTTATTGCTTGGAAGGTTATTCCCTTCTAATGAGTTTTCCTAGCAAACATATTGATTTTGCTTTTGCTATATATATATATCTGATTTTAAAAAAACAACAATAATACCTGGCAAGGCAATTAGTTGCAGTTTTATTTCTCCATGAGACCGTGAAGTCGGGTCTCGAGGTGACCCTAGCCTTTTAAACCAGAAATTAAGCATTTCTGATTCCTCTGGAGCTCCTACTATTATCAATAGGACGCGGCCTTCGCCAAAGACCCCTGGCTCATCCTCTCCCCTCTCCGTCTCCTCAGCAGTGGACCAAGACTGGCTCCCGCATCGAGCACATGGCCTCTCACCTCTGCCTAGACACGGACATGTTTGGGGATGGCACTGAGAGCGACAGGGAAGTCGTGGTCAACCCGTGCGAGTCCTCACTCATGAGCCAGCACTGGGACATGGAGAGCCATTGAGGACCCATGCCGGAAGCATCGGGGCTTGGCGTGGCACTTCCCCGGGGAGAAGCAGACTGGAGATCAGGCTGCAAGCAACCCGTGATTTTTGCAGACGCCCTGAGCTGGGAGGTGGAGGCAGAGCCCCCCAGGGCAGGAGCGGCTGTCTCAGGGAGGATGGAGGGAAAGCTTGCAAGCCAGGTGGGGCTGCGAGGCAGCCCCCACATGTTCTCAATGCCACGAAGTTCCAGTCCTGGCCTGGTCTGTCCCTGAATGGTGTCTGGCGACAGAGATGTGACGGGAAGTGTTCATGTTTTTTCTCTTTCTTACGCAAGAGGCCAGAGAGAAAAGCCTTCTTGTCACGAGGCCAGGGCTAAATTGAAAGATGAGGAGTGGAAGTGGTTTTGAAACAAATAAATGAACCTTAGCAGTTGTCTGTGTATCCCTTGCTTTGTTTCTCCTTACGTTCGCCCAGGGCTAGTCCAAGTTCTCCACCAGGTGGGCGCCAGGGGGCTCTGGGGTCTTGTGGCAGGTGGACCAGAGCAGAGAGCAGAGAACAGGGTGGTGGGAGACCTGAGCTGTGGTTGCTGTATGACCTTAAAAAGACCTGTCGCTTCTCTGACCCTGCGTTTCCTGTTGTGTCCGGTTTGGTGGTTGGCGCCCATCAGTGGTTCTTACCCAGGGATACCTTGTTTATCTCGTCTGGAGAAATGGCATCCATTCAGGGCTCTGGGTTCCTCCTGTGGAGATGTCACTGCGGCAGGTCCAGGGTGGGGTCCAGGCTGCTCGGCTGAGTCCCTTGGCCCTCACAGGTTGGAATCACTGCCCTAGATGGCTCTGTGGGCTCTGATAGTAAAGGATTCTTTCTCTAATCAATTCCGGTGTGCTCTGTGTCTGGTGGTTGTCCATTCTTATTAACTGGTGTTTAAGAGACTAACCAATCTGTATTGTTTAAAAGCTCCCAAAACATGCCTGCACATTCTCTGCCAAGGTAAGTTCACATACTGATTAGCTGCGGTCTTGGTTATCTATTGCTAAGTAGCAAAGTACCCCAAAGCTTAGCAGCATAAAGCAACACACATTTACACTCCCTGGGTGCTAGGGGGCAAGCATCAAGGCACAGCTTTGCAAGGCACATCAAGGCAAGCATCGAGGTCCCCGCACCAGGATGACTTGAAAGGCTACGGTCACAAGGAGATGGTGGGGGCTGCAGTCATCTTGTGGTTCAACGGGCGAGGATCTGTTCTGAACTCTCGCAGTGGTTGTTGGCAGGATCCAGTTCCTCGTGGGCTGTCGGCCAGAAGCTTCCTCGGTTCCTTGTCATGTAGGCCCCTTCAAGGCAGCAGCCTGCTGCGCCAAGGCAAGCAAGCCAGGAAGGCCCGAGTGCCAGCAAGGCGGGGGTCACAGCCTTTTATAACCTGATCTCTCAGGTTACTTCCCATCCCTTTCCCCACATCCTAGTCCACAGATGCAAGTCAGTAGGCCCAGCCCACACCCAAGAGGAAAGGATTGCATAAGAGAACTGATGCTGGGAAATCGGGGGCCCTTTTAGAGTCCTTTGGCCACCATAACTATTATACCCTACACAGATGTCCATCTCGCCTTCACCCAGCAAGCCTTCAGTGATTGGCAGTTGTCCAAGCCCATCATTAGACGTGCATGACTGAAGGCTGCAGGTGTGGGAAGCCGAGGGCTGAGTGCACAGGCCCGCGATCTCCTCTCATGGTTGTATTTATTGATGCAATCCCGCTCGTGCCTTTGTTAGTTATGATTTGGCTCTTTGGTGGGACTGTTTCAGTCCCCATTGTGAAAAGAAAAGGCGGCCATGGGACAAGACATCTGTAGAAGATGACGCTCTGGTGACTCCTCAAGCTATGTGTCCACGGAGGTTAAGCCATCCTTGCAAGGAAGAGGAAAAAATGAACCTGTTCATCAGCGCCCTTTCCCCGAGTAGAAGCAGCAGTGCTGCCCGGAAATAACGAAAGGAGCTGGCATTGGCCTCACTGGTCCCCTTGTCTCTCCATGTATGTGCCTGTCCCTGAGTCCTCTCATGGCAGGAAAACTGGCTCTTGCCTTTATTGCCAGCATGGGGCCGGGCACAGCAAGCACTCAGTGAATGTTTTCCTAAATGGATGACTAGTACAATGGTTCCTTGCCCAAGAGGAAGTGACTTTAGTTACTTTTTATTTGCCCACAAAAGAGTCACAAAGTGTAGGTGGCTATAGGTCTGTCTCAAACACCCAGGGAAACAGGAGTAGATGCCCTTGCCCGGGGGGTGCAGCCATTTTTAATCTCTGCCATTAGGAGAACTAACGCTCAGCGATGCCTCCGTCGGGAGGACCGGCCTAGGGTAAAAATAAAGGACGTGGAGGGTCACCTGCTAGTGGGCATAGGGACAGATGACGTGAGCTGCTGGGTGTGTGTCATACTTACTGAGGTATAACTGACATATAACATTGTGTTAGTTTCAGGCCCAGGGGCATACATCCTCCTTAGCGGAAAATGCAGGTTAAAAGCTCTGGTGATGCAAACGGAAGTCGCTACAACTGTGTAGTTATCCACACGCCCTCTGTCCATGACCCTGATGGTGATGAAGCATCTGTGACTTAAAAAGCAAGAACAGCAGTACTTCCAAACCTCAACCCGTCCAGGACAAAGCGAATGGCACCCTATAGGACAGCAACTGCTCAGCGTGGGACACCTGTGATGGGCACGTGCATGGCGAAGTGAGTGTGACCTGGTGGTCAGTTTTGGTGTGGTGGTGTTTTCGTGGTTTGTTTTTGGTGGATGCTGAATGAGAGTCCTCAGTCAACTCTGATCACTGAGTTTGGATGCAGAATTTCCTAGAATAATAATGGCTCAGTGGGCCACCTGTAGCTGTGGGTCAAAGTGTAAGTTTTTCCAATGGCATCAACCTATGGGAACAAAAAGGACCTATATTCTTCGTAGTGTTAGGGCTCACAAGATTTACACCCCAAACTGAACTTGAAGCGTCACCGCCCTGGAGCAGTCTTACCACACTGCCAGGTGAGGAGGTGTCCAGGTGTGGCAGAAACCCCCTCACTGGGAGCACGCACGTCTGGCTGGTGGGAACAGATGTGAGCAATATGGGCTCCTATGTAACTTAATGGTGTGGTGTGCAATTTAAATGAAAGGGATACGTGTGTGTGAGTGTGTGTGAGTGTGTGTGTGTGTGTGTGTGTGTGTGTGTGTGTGTGTGTTATATTGGAAAGAAGAGAGGTGGGGCTTCAGGCACCCTCTATGTCTAGGTTAGAGTTGGAGTGATGAAGATGTGGAATGGATGGGCAGAAATGGGAATATTTAGGTAATTCTGGGACCAGCACAGATGGCCGAGCCAGGTGCCATATTGAATCGGAGACTCCCTCGCTTACTTTGTTTTCTTACGTGCTGTGTGATTTCTCTGTGTGAGCTCATCTTCGGTAATTATTTCCTCTGGGTCCTCTGGTTAAGGAGGTATGCCTCAGGGAAGGTTCAAGTTTGTCTGTGTTGGGTTCCATTGATGTCAGACCAGTTTATCCGTCAGTTTCTCCATTTCTCCATAGTTTCCACACTGTGGGAACATGATGCGAATTTAGACCCCACATCTATGCGTGGCACAAGTTGGATTTTGATCTTTCGCAGATGATCTTTCCTCGACCCAAATTGTCTTCTTGCTTTCGTGTCATCACCACTCACCCGGCAGGGTGGGGATAGCCAGGCACCCAGCTCTGTCCAGTCTCACTTCAGGCCCCGGCCACAGTGGGGCTGCCTCTTCTTGGAGTTAAAAGCCCAGCCCTGACTGTGCACATCTGGCTGCGATCCCCCTTCAGCTCCCTCTCCACTCTGGCTTTGAATTCCCACTTGTTTTTTTGGAATCTGGAACCTTTCCTCCCATCCTGCCGAATGCGGCTGTGGTTTCAAGTTGTTTTATTGTGCTTTATCCAATATTTATATGTGTGGGGGGAGGGAGCCTCCATGTCAACTCAGACCAGAATTCCTCAGTGCAGTAATTGGATGTCAGCACTGTCCTTCCCACTGGCTGTGGGACCACATCTTCGTATAGACACTTGGTACATTTCCATGAATAAGTAAGAGAATAAGCCTGTGATTCTTAGTCTCTCTCCCTAGTTACCCCATGGCTGCAGCTATCAGACATGAGAGTTTTAAACAGACAGCAAAGGCAGGAATGGAGGGCCGAGAAGACAAATGTGTAACAATGAACCCTCGTTATAGTACACATAGATTTAGAGATCATGCATATTTTACTTCATAATGACAGGGTTTAATACCGAACGTGCTAACTGGCAAGAACTATCAGTAATGGAAATCTTTAATACTGCAGTTGAGCCCAGCAAGAGAAATCTGTTCTCATAAACTCTGAGGGATGGTGACGAGAAGGTAGACAGGGAGCGCTCTGCGACTCATTCGCCAGCATCGCGGGCATGTGCACCTGCATCGGCAACCTGAGTCCTGCACCCTCTCCTGCAGTAATTAAGCCCTCTCCACACTCTGAGCCACTGTCCACTGTGGCCCTGGAGAGACCTTTGTTCCTTGGGCTCCTGACAGCACCTAGGGCAGCCTCTGGCTTGCAGAGGAGCGCCGTGAAGGCTGGAGGGCTGCAGGAGACGCTGAGCAGCTGTGCACGCGTGGTGGTGGCCTCTGAGGCGTTGCAGAGGGCGGGTGGGAACCCGCTCTCCCCCGCACACAGAGCCAACCTCTCGAGCTCCCTGGTGGTCTGAGATCTCAGGCAGCCCGACCCAGATTAACAGAATCCGAAGCTCCGAGCGCTTTTCCATTTGCCACGGAGCCGACTAATTTAATGAAGCCGTCACAGTGCAAACCTCGGGGCTTATTGGAAAAGGACTCGAGCACGACATTATTTCACAGCAGTAGATTGCATCATTTTCATTTCACAGCTTTCCAATGGGAAATAATAAAACAAAATTACAAACATAATGAAGAAAGAAAAGGGGGGAGGCGGGGGAAACCAACCCTAGGGTGAGAGGCGCGTCCTCTGTGCT